TACATTCTCCCTGGCCAGGCCTTTTGTTCTGTTCAGTTTTTAATGGATTGTGTGAAACCCACCCACGTTGGGGCAGGCAATCTGTTCCACTCAGCCTACCAGTTGCAGTGTTACTCTTATCCAGAAATAGTTTAACAGACACACCCAGAATAATGTTTAACCACATATTCAGGCACCCATAGCCCAGTCAAATTGACAAAGAGTTGTATTCCCCATTACTCTAGAGAGGCAGAATCTTAGAAGAAAATCTTCCTGCCTGACACATGAACCACAGTTCCCCCAAAGTATGCATCCATCTTATTTCAGAGTCTGAGTTCTCAAGCAATTGAATGTTAAAAATGCAGATCCTGGCCTCCCCTGAGACCTGTGACGGGGTGATCTCTGGGGTAAGGCGAGGGAGTCTGCAAGATCGCCATGTGCCGTGTAAACAAGATAAAGCCCAAACTCCTTAACACAGCTGCCAAACACTGTCTGACCTCTGCCTACTTGGCCAGTGCTGGGTCATGCTGCCTGCCCCTTCCTGGCCACACCCCTCCCCTGGCTCTGGCCAGGAGGACTCCCTTAGATGTCCCCTTGTAGTCTACTTTATTCCATGCTCTGCTATTTCCTGCTCCTCATACTCTCCCCCATCTGTATTCTCCTCCCCTTTCTGTCTACCTAGCTGACTTTGCTCATCTTTCCAAACCCAACTTAAGTATCCTTTGTCCTTTGATGCTTTTTGTAGGGGGCAGGACTAGGGCACGGTGCAGGTTTTCTGATCCCATGCAGACCGGGTAAAGGAGGAGTCAGAGTCCTCAGTAGTTTTGCAGGTGTTTTATTTGGGGGTTCACCAGGCATATGGCAGGTAGGGGTGCAGGCCTCCCAGCCCCCAGCAAGTCTTCACTCTATCTGGGCTCTCTAGCGTTCGTTCTGCTGCTTCTCGGCTTCTCTTTCGGGTTCTGCTGCTGCTGGCTGGGACTGCTGGCGTCCCCCCGTGACACCGCCCCTAAAAAGCACAGTCCTAACTCAGCTGAATCCCATCCACCCATGCCCACACCCTATTCCAGGCGCCCGCCATCAGGCATGCATTCAGGACAAGGATCCATCATCTATCCTGATGGCGGAAGGGCAGAAAAGCCCGACATTTTCCTTACCCTACACTTTTCTGTTAGGATAAAAAGATATTTCAGTCATTCAAATATTCCCAGAGTCCTTTCCACATGTCAGGCACTATTCTGGGCTCTATTATAGATATAACTGATAAAAAAAAAAAAACCTACCTGCATATAGCTCAAAATACAAATAAGCAAAAAGCTCTCCATGTTAATGTTAAATTTATAACATGTCAGATAAAAGCGACATGGAGAAACACAGGCAGGGAAAGATATGGCCACAACAAGGATTTCTGGGTAATCAGGGAAGTTCATTAGTGAAAGAATGACCACCTGTTTTGGTGGCTAAGGCTGAAAGCATGATTGGAGAAGGCTCAGGGGAGGAGAGATGAGAAATTAGTGGCAATGGATATAAACACAGTGCTTGAGGAATTTGCAATAAAGGAGTATAGAAATTGGAGGTGAGATCAAAAGAAGGTTTTTATTAATGATAAAAATTAAAGTACATTGAAATGTTGATGAAGTTGATCCAATAATGATGAGGCAGGAAAGAAAAGGGATGAACAATGAGTTCATTCCCTCCCTTGTGCTTTTCTTTATGCCTGGCATAAAGAAAAGACTTCTAGCAAAGCACATTAAATACCCATAAATGTATTAATGTTGGCATACTCGCCTCTCTCTCTCTGTATTAGTTAGGCTTTCCTGCAATAGTGCTGTATAACAAACAACTCTCAAACCTCAGTGGCCTGCAGGGACAGTGGTTCATTTCTTTTTTTTTTTAATTTTTATTTTTTTATAATAAATTTTATTTTTATATTCCCCATACAATTTCAACCCCCCCATTTTGACCCCAATCCCTCCCCTCCCTCCACCCACCCCCCCCAAAAGTGTCTCTGAGGTTGGCTGCTCTCTGCTGGGCTTGGATGAGCCAGGCTAACTCCAGGGGTTGGGCTGGGGTCCACATATCTCTCATTCTAGCACCTGAGGTTACCCTGCATGTTCTTTTTCATTGTAGATGATGAAAGCACAATAGGGCAAGTCTAACACATGGACGCATGTATGGCCTCTGTTTGTAACAAGTCCACTCACATGCCATTGGCCATAGCAAGTCACACACCTATGCCTAAAAGGGAAGAAGAGTTAATGCTGTGCATAGATGAGGAGGTACACAGCGAGGAAGGGAAAATAATATGGACAAATAATGTGACCTGCCACATTCTGCTGGCCCTTCAACAGAATGATCTTATTTGTTTGATTTTTCCTGTGCCTAACACTGCAGTAAATGCTGCAAAAATAACTGAATGAATGTTGCCAGCTGCTTTTTTTTTTTTTAAACAAAACTCATAGTTCTATGTCTTTTAATTTTGGATCTGGAAGGATTTGGGCTTCATTCCCTGCATCTGTGCTTTTTTTAGCATTATTTTTTAACATTATTTTAGCATAATCTTATAGGCAATAATATTAATAATGGTAAAAATAATAACAGATGGCATTTCCTAAGTGTTTGTGCCAGGAATATTGTTCAGGGTTTTAGGTTCATGATGTCATTTTTCTCTCCAAACAAATCTATGTGGTAATTACTGCTCTCTCCATGCCAGACATTAGGTGACTGAGAATCAGAGAGGCTCAATAACTTACCCAAGGTCACACAGCTAGAAAGAGGTGGAGCTACAATTTAAATCCAGGCCAGCAGGGTCTGGTGCCTCTTCTAAACAGCATACTGTAGCATCCCTACATGACCCAATGTCAGTTTTTCCGTCTGTAAGATAGGTGTGAACTCCACTTTGTTGTTAGGCAAATTGTGATTTTCAAGTAATTGAAAAATAGTATACAAATCACCTGGTCCAGTGAAGTTATACCCTGGGCACTCAACAAGTATTACTTTTTTCCTTTCCCATTTCACTTCTGATTCCTGCTCCTAGACTTGATGCAAACTTTCCTCTGAATCTGATCTGATGCTCATAATGCATTAATTATAGATTTGTTATACCTACAATAATCAACCTCAACAACCCTAACAGGCCCCCTGCTGAAATTTTCTCCAAAGTCAAACCATTAGCAGTGGATCTCTAAAGCTCTTGGGAAGACTTCGAACTTGGTCATATTTCATTTGGCTGTGAATTATTCATGTCCCTTGATGGTTTCTGAAGTCAGCCTCCTCCCAAGGAGGTGGATTTATAAATGAGGCTTGGGCCAGTCACTCTGATGTGTCTGTTTAGTAGGTGACAAGCAAAAGAAAGCAAGTGTCAATCAGTGGTAGGAGGTGTTGCCAAGTGCGCGCCAAGACACGAAACCCAGAAGACGGTGGGTCTGCTCAAAATTTCAGCAATTTCAGACACGGGGGAAGGAGAACAGACTGTGTCTCCAAAAACAAGGGATGTGTCCTTTTGATGGAATAGGCTGAGAGGAGAGAAGGAAGAAAAAGCTAATGAAGACCCCTTAAGTGCCAGACACCCAAGAGATGTGATCCTATTTAATCCTCAAAAGAACAAAAGCTGGGTTGTTTGTCTTTCTTTTTTTTTTTTTACAGAAAAACAAGGTTGCAAGAAGTATAATAATTGAATAACTTTTTTTTTTTAAGATTTATTTATTTATTTATTTATTTATTTATTTATTTATTTATTTATTTATTTATTTATACAAGCACTGGGTACAGTCAGAAGTGTGGAGGGTAAGAGAACTCACCAGAGCCAGAGCAGGGAACAGAATAGGCAGACTGATGAAATACACTGCTGAGGGGAGCAGTGGGTGTGGCAGGAGAGGTCTGTCATGCCATGTCGGACCCTCGCGGGCAGCCAGGGATCGAACCGGCACTGCAGAGGCTGCGGGCAGCTTCGCAGCCCAGCGCTCAACCGCTGCGCCACCAGGGGAGGCCCTGAACAACTTTTAAAAGAGAAGATTTGGAAAGTGTATTGCTCAAACAATTAGGTTTGTCTGCGAGTGACAGAATTAGGTTTGTCTGGCTGGCATGGCCTTCCACCTTGCCGGAGACCTGGGTCCTCTGATCTCTTGTCCTGCCACCCCAAAGTTAGCTTGGGGCTAATTTCACCCAATTAATTTTGTCCAAAATAGAACTCTGATTTTCTTCCAAAGACCTGTCTGCTTACAGATTTTCCCATTCAGTGAACATTTTCCTGTTGCTCAGGCCAGAATATCATTTTGATTCCTCAGCTACCCACCATGCTCCTGCCTTCCTTCACTCTCTTCTTCACAGGGCAACACGTGTCCCTGTCTTGTTCCTGAAGTGATGGAGAAATATTCAGTCTTTCACCTGTAATGTGCTGTTGTCCCCAGATGCCCTTGATCCGTTTGAGGAAGTTCCCTTCTCTGTCCAGTGTGGTGCATGTTTTTTTCACGGAGTGTTGGATTTCGTCAACTGCTTCTCCTGTGTCTTCGGAGACAATCGTGTGGCTTTTGTCCTTGATTCTAGTCATGTGGTCTGTTACAATGACTGATGTTCAGGTGTTAAGTCAACGTTGCATGCCTGGAGTAAATCCTACTCTGTCATGGTGTAAAATCCTATTACTATAGAGCTGAATTCTATTTTCAAGCTTTTTACTGTTTTAAATTTTTGCATCCCCAAGTGTTCTTTCTAAATAAGTTAGAGCGTTAAGCACTGACTGGGTTTCCAAGGCACTCTAGGGATCCCGGCCAGGAATGCTATCTCAGATACCCTCCCCGGGGCTTTACACAGTATCACCACCTCGCTCTGCTCACACCACTTCCTTGCTCCCTTACTGGTGTGTCCTGGGGGCAATTTCTAGTACCTCACTTCACACAAATATTCTCAGGTGCCGTTTGTGGGGATCAGCGTGGTCACCACCGTGGAGGAGAAACCTCTCTGGTCCGGTTGCCCTCACCCACACCCACTCTCCTCGCACTGACTGAGCTCTGTGCATTTCCTTGCAGGTGATTTATGCACTGAACACCCGCCAGGACGAGGCCGAGGCCAGCATGGAGGCCCTGAGGGAGGCCCACCAGGAGGAGCTCCAGATGGCCGTGGCAGAGACCCAGGCCCGGCTCCTGCAGGAACAGGGCCGTGCAGATGAGGAGGCCCTGCGGGAGCGCATCCAGGCCCTGGAGAGCGCCTTGGAGCTGCAGAAGAGGCTCACCCAGGAGGCACTCGCCCAGTCAGCCTCATGCAGGCTGGAGACCAAAGAAAGGGAGCTGAGGGTGGAGGCCGAGCATGCGGAGCGGGTTTTGACCCTCTCCAAGGAGATGCTGGAGCTCAAAGCCGACTACGAGAAGAGGCTCCGCCACCTGACTAGCCATGAGGCGCCCCAGTGGGGCCGGCTCTCCCAGGAGAGCCCTGATCCAAAGGGAGAGCCGGGCCGCGGCCCCGAGATGCGGGAGGTCCTGCTGGAGGTGGAGCGACTGCGGGCCGAGAACCAGCAGCTGAGCAAGGACTACGCCAGGAAGGCCGAGGAGCTGCAGGCCAACTACGAGAGGGAGAACGAGGCCATCCGGCAGGCCATGCAGCGGTCTGTGAGCGAGGCCCTGTGGCAGTGGCAGGAGAAGGAGACCGACCTCCGCAAGAACTTCCAGGTGCAGGAGTCGGCCCTGCAGGCCCAGGTCAGGAAGCTGGAAGGTGACCTGGAGCACAGAGGGCGCAAGATAAGTGACCTGAAAAAGTACGCCCAGAAGCTGAAGGAAAGAATTCAGGTAAAGCAAGATCTCCTACCTTTCTTTCCTTTTAAACTGATTTTCTTCTTTGAGGTCATTGATGTTGGTTTACAGCACTGTGTAGATGATTCAGAAGTCCAGGTTCACACATCTTCAGATGTTTATTACCTCACCACACCCACCAGCAAGGTACCCATAGTCTTCCTCATTTGGGGCACTAACCTGGTCCCTTGTCGTGAACACCTTATTATGTGTCGGGCACTGTCTGAAACACTTCCTTCTGCCAAAGCAAATGTTTTTATCCCCACTGTGTTCAACTACATTCAGCAATTATTTCTGAAAACCAGCTGTGTAGGCAGGAACCCTGGTGAGTTGGGCGTGGAAAGCTTAGACACTTACAGTTTACAGATGACAAGACAGGATGAAACTGAGAGGCATGAGAACCTGCCTAGCTGGACTCGCAGCTATGTTTTTGAATTCAATTCAACCGCTTTCTAAAGCCCCTGCCCATTCTGTATTAACTTGCCTGTGTTAGAATGCCTGGGAGTATGTGGCGAGTCAGACCATTAACCCATCAGTTATGTGATCCCACAGGCCCACAAAGCCCCATCTCTAAAAGTAGCAGCAGCTGATATCTCTCATGCTCCCTGAGCATTTTTTCTGAACCAGGCATTTTATTCGTTTCATCTTCACTAGAGAAAGGTTAAATAACTTGCCCAAGGTCACACAGCCCATCACAGCATGAGGAAGGCTTTAATGTACATCTCGCCATGGAGTTCTAGAGAAACGGGGTTATGCTGTGCAAGTCCCCACCTTTCAGATCTGAAGTCTGTGCACTTGGGAAGTCTGTTCAGAACTGAAACTGGAGAAACAAGTCACTTCCTGTCTGTTTAGGACCTGGATGTGCAACTCAAGGAGGCTCGGCAGGAGAACTCGGAGTTGAAAAGCACTGCCAAAAAACTTGGGGAGAAGCTGGCAGTGGCCAAGGACAGACTGATGCTGCAGGAGTGTCACGTAATGCAGAAAACTGGTGAGATGCCCTGTCTCTGGCTTCTTACAGAGGAAAAGGTGGCTTCTAGGTGGACAGCGGAGTGGAGGGCTTGCTGCTGTCCACCATCCCCCAACCACAAGGGCAGAGTAGGAGGCTTGGGATGTTAGATTTGACCTGCCTGTTGGGCGAGTCCAATGCCTGCAGGACCCAGGTAGCTGCCACAGGCCAGATCTGTGAAGGCATGATACACAGGACGTCTTGCCCTCAAAGACTTTGCCCCCATGCTGGCCACAGCACCTAACGTTCTCAGCACCTGCTTCTCCCCCACACTCAGATAGCACTTTGTTCTTTTTTTTGTGTAGTACTAACTATTGAGAAGGTGGCATCTTTTAAACACCATAATTTCAAATAAATATCCAGCATCATATTTAATTATGGAACCCTAGAGGCACTCCCATGAAAGTCAGAAATAAAATAGAGAAGTGTGCCTGAGTATGACTATTAAACATAGCTCAGAAAATGCTTAACCAAGTCATTTTATTTATTTCCTTATTATTTCCCTTGACATAATGTTAGTAACACTGCATATGATTTGGGTATAGTTTCACACCTCTTCAGAGGTATATTACCACAGCACGATCACCAGCGAAGCCCCGATAATCTTTGACTACAGTCCATAGGGCACCTTCCTTCCTTGTTCCCAGCCCCTACTCTGCCCCTCTGGTAATCTCAAGTCTGCAGTCAAATTTATAGTGTTTGTTTCATTTTGGTTTTGTCTGTTCCTTTGATTTATTTTTTATGTTCCACACATGAATGAAATCATCTGTTATTTGTCTTTCTCCTCAGTCATTTCACTTATGATAACCCCCTACAGGTCCACCCATGTTGTCAAAGATGGCAAAATTTCATCTTTTTATAGCTGTGTAGTATTCCTTTGTGTATCTATACTACATCTGCTTAATCCAGTCATTCATTGATATATTCTTTTAACAACATTTCGTAGTAACACTAGTGGACCTTCCCTATAATTTTGTGGCATAGATGTTGCCAGAATCACCTCACTGGTGAAGCAATGAGGCTGACAAAGGTTGAGTGGCTAGCTTAAGGCCAGCCAAGCAACTAGTTGGTGAGAGAGCCAGTATTTGCATCTGAGAACATCTGATTTTAAAGTGTCCTCTAGGAGGCTCCCTTATTGGAAAGTTCTTGAATACCTACAGTGTGACCAGCTTGATATTGGGAGGTACAACGTGGACTTATGCCTCCAGGAACCTCATGGGACAGTGACCTTATAGCCCAGGGCACACTTTGTCATCATAGATGTGAACCAGGTAGCAGGGACTGAAGCATTCAGAAAAGTAGAAATCACTATGGGATGGAAAAGTGTGGAGAAGAGAGGTTGTAGTTGAAACCAAAAGTGTGTGGAGGGTGTAGAGCACTGGTCTCAGAAGTAGGACATGAGTATCTCAGGGAATAAGGGAAGAAAATGAGCAGTTCTAGTTATATTCATTTTTTGTCTTATCCTTTAAATTCCTATCATATTTCCTATTGAATGTGTACATGTCAAGGGACATGTTCAATATTTTTAGAATACAGAAAGGTTATATTTGAAGATTGGAAGGAAGAGAAGTTCAGCTATTTAAAATCAGGTCATTACTGGAGCAAAGATGGGCACCTTGACCATGCTTGAACACCTGTGGGAGCAAGATTACATGGAAAGGTGGTGGGTAAAATAGTGGAATTGCAAAATAGGGACCAAATTGCGGGAAGCCGCAGACACCAGGCAAAGGCCAAGGGCCTTCCAAATGATGTTGGAGCTTATGCTTGCAGATAACATGAAGACGGAGCTCATTTCCGAGAATAAAGTCCTGGGAGAAGGAAATGACTTGGAAGCTGGTAGTCTTCATCCTCAGCAGGATCAGACCTTTCCCAAGGAGTGTCCATGCATGAAAGGAGGCACAGAAACACAGGTAGTGTCTGACCCAGCCCTGGGGTGGAGAAGTCACGGGGGGCTTTCCTGGAAAGAGCTTCAGGTGGAGACCAATCCCCAAGCAGATGGATCGACTTGGAACCTGCAGGTCCCACGCTTTCAGGGGTGGATATGCAGGAGTGAAGTTTTAGCCAACACCCTGCCAACTTCACATCATTTGAAACTAGGGGGCTGAGACTATAGCAGAATGTTCCCATCTTTTTGTCGCTGGCTCCTGGAAAATTGGAAACTTGCTTAGAATCTCCCCGCCCCCACCCCGCCCCCAATATGTTTCCAGTCCAAACAAAGCATTCTTTACAGACCTCTCTGGTATGGGTTGAAATAGCTGATCCTGTAACGATGAATACATGTCTCCAAAGAGCCCTTTCTCCATCCTGGCTCAAGTGAAGTCTTCCATGAATATCAAATATACAGTCTTGTAAATGTTATCATAATTTGTGATCCGTGTAGCAAAATCAGGTTATAAACACTAAAACGTAAACTTTGTACCAAAAAGAATGGTGATTCTCTGCTCCTCACCTCCCCCCACCCCAGCAGTTTTCAAGGTCCGTTTTCTTTTTGTAGACCCAAAAAGAGGCAAGTGTCGAGAAGGAATATATGAAGCAACAATATGAAGAAGATCTTCGCAAAATCAAAATCCAGACAGAGGAGGAGAAGAAACATCTCAAAGAGCAGCTAGTGAAGCGCCTGGAAGACTTGGTCAAGAAACACACGGTGGAAATGAAATCGGTTCGCTCCTCGGTAGAGGCTGAAAGGAAAAAGCTGCAGAAGGTGAGAAGCCCCTTTGCGGGGCACTGCTGGGTTTCATTTTCCTTCCTCCACCCCCTTCCTTTTGTCTTTTATTCTCCTTTCCTTTCTCAAGCTCTGAGTGTGCTCCTGCTGGGTATAGATATCAGCTGGTTCACTGACCAGGAGGAGTTCAGGTCTTTGTGGGGGAAACCAGGACTCCTAAGACAGTTGTGAGTCATTAAGGCCGGGAGTCATTGATGCGGGTGGAATTGTGTCATGGCATCATTTAACGTAGGGAAATTCAACACTTTCTGGATTCAGATCCCAGTGCAGCCGCCCTCAGCTTGGTGGCCACAGCCAGGCCTTTAACCTGGGCAGTGCAGTGGGGAATTCCGTGGGCCTCAGCCTCCTCACTTATAACACCCCTGGCATCTGTGAGCCCAGGACCTGCTGCCACCACCACCCTGGGCCCTCCTCATTGCCTCCAGAACTGCACTATTGTGGTAGCTACTAGACACATGGTTATTTACATTTACTTTAATTGCAATTAGATAAAATTTAACTGTAAACCAATGGTAAATCAATTAAAAATTATTTTAAAAGAAATTAAATAAAACTGGAAGTTCAGCTCCTCAGTGGACCTAGCCACATTTCAAGTGTTCCATAGCCTTGTATGTGGCTAGTGGCTACCAGCTTGGATAACACAGTGCTGAGTGTGCATAGCACAGTGCTCCGTTATATTATAGAACATGTTTCTCGACATGGAAAGTTTCCTTGGTGAGCACTTCTCTGGAATGATTGGCTCTGCTGCCCCTGGAGACTGCATTTGGCAGTCTGACTTGTTTGTACTTTTTACTAGATTTTGATTCGAAATCTGGGGTGGATGCATCTGAGTGGTGAGGCTTTGGTCACATGGCCATGCCCGAATTGCAAGGGAGTGTGGGAAGATCAGTCTGACATTTTCAGGCTCCTGGTGGAGGAAGGTGCGCTGAGGTAGCAGATGGACGATCTTCCAATTTTGTAAGCAGAACAGTGAGGAGCAACCCAGTCAATGGATGGACTTGACCATAGAAGGTGGAGCTTTCCGAGTCCCACTCCCTGAAGGGAGGGGCTGATGGCTAAAAGGGACAGAGCTGCGTTTGGATTTCTTCTGATGAAAGCTGACAACCTCTTATGTGTTTTCTTCTGTGTGTAATGTGACGTTTTGTTCTCTGAATGCTTTCTTTATCACTGATTTTTACAATTTGATTACGATATGCCACAATGCAATTTTCTTTGTCTTTCTGCTTGGAATTCATTAGAATTCTTGGTTCTGTGGTTTTATAGTTTTTATCCAGTTTGGAAATTTAAATCCATCCTCTCTCCTGCCACCCCCTCTTCTATGTTTTTCCACAACATTCTATTTTCAGCCTCTTGTCGCTGTGTTTCAGTTTGAGTAGTTCTGTTGCTGTGTCTTCAAGTGCACTCATTGTTTTCATCATCCAGTCTTATAAGTCCCATTTTTTTCATTTCCAATATCATAATTTTCAGCTTTACAAATTCCATTTGATGCTCAATGCAGTTTCCCTTCCTCATCTCATTATGTTACATTTTCCTTGAAATTTTTGTGCATATTTTTAAAAGATTTATCTTTATTTATTTATGCATACAAGAACTGGGGTGTAGGCCAGAAGTGCAAAGGGGTGAGAGAACTCACCAGAGACAGAGTGGGGAACAGAACAGGCAGATCTACTGAAATACACTGCTGAGGGAAGCAGCGGGGAGACAGGAGAGGTCTGCTGCACCATGTGGTTCAGCTCGCTGGCTGGGGATGGAGCTCATGCTGCAGTGGCTGGTCATAGCTTGATAGTGCTGAAACTTCAACCCTTGCGCCACCAGGGAGGCCCTGATATTTCTAATTGCTCTTTTACCAGTCTCATCTCCTCTCATTTTAGGATATTTTTCTGTTGACTGGTTCTCTCCAGGCTATGAGTCACATTTTTTGATTAGATGCTGGGCATTACGATGTTAATTTATTGAAAGTCTAGGTGGTGTTATTATTATCCTGTTATGAGTGCTGAATTTGGTTTTGGCAAGCAATTAAATTACTTGAAGCCAGCTTCATCCTTTCTAGTCTTTTTATGGTGGTAAAATGTAAATAGCATAAAAGTCTTCTCCAGACTTATTTTTGAGCTTGGTTAGAATGAGTTTTGAAGAGCACTTGCTCTTGTGCCACTGTAGTCCTGGTACCCAAAGGTCACCCCTCATGGAGTCTAACAGCCCATGTATTGAGTGCTTTTGGAGCTAGTTTCTCTGAGGGACATGTTAGGCTTTGTGCCGGTTGAATCATTTGCTGCATCATGAATTTTACCATAAATACATTCCAAATAGCAATGTTTCTTCTTGAAAAAGTTAATGTGTTTTCCTTTAAAACACCACTGAAATCTCTATTTGGTGATTTTCTGTGGTTGCTCATTTGTTCTTCCTGTCACAGTGGGTCATTCTGTGTCTTTTCTTAAATTAACTGTAACTGTGAACAACCTAGACACGGAAGCATAAGACAGGTGTGGGTCCTGCTTTCACACTTGCCTTTGGTGTTCCTTCATGTGAAATGGATGCAATAAAGCCTTTTTCCCTGACTTAAGTGAGAATAAAGTTCATGAAATTACTTTGAATTCTATAAATTAATGCCCCATGGAATGCCCCTTAGGTATAGGATTTATATATTTGAAAGCATCCGTCTCCTTCTTTAGCCTCATGTTCTTCGAGGTTTTTTTCCTCTTGCATTAGAAGAATAAGAACTTCCTGTTGAATCCTCAAGGGTACTGTGGACTTAGCTGGACTTAGGCATGCTTCCTTCTAGTCTGTGTTCTCCAGGTGACCCAGAATTATGTTTTCTGACAGTAAGCCACATTATTTTGTACCTAAAGGGAGTCTCCCTACTGCCAAACTTACTGATGAAATATGTTATTTCCATCTGTGGGGAAATTATTGCCCTGTAGCTCCTTTGTCAAGGAAACAGCTAAAGCTGTGATTGATTATATGAACCCTAGTAAATTAGGCTGTGTGGAATCAGAAATAGTTCTTGCTTTATGTTAAAAATAATTCTTGCAGGGGAATTTCCACTGCATTGTTTCAGTGAACATGTCTTGGCAGAGGTAGTGAGTGTCTGTATCAGGAAGCAAGTTAAGCAAAACCTTTGTTCAATAAGTGGCTCAGTAAATGAGAAGCTAATTAATGAAGTAAAAATATCAGGATATTTGCTGAGGGTATGGTTGTGTTTCTAATGGCTGTTTAAGTTATTTATACTTGTTTGGAACAAAAGGGTGGTTTATGTATCATCTATAGAAATGAACTCCACAGATCAACCAACCCTCATAGACACTATGTGCTAAGTGTCAAGGTCATGTGGTCCTGACGATCTAATCACTTTTCTTTTCTTCCCATTTAAATGGCTGACCCTAAAGGAAAATGCTAATGGCCACCCCAGGGCCCCTGACCTGGACTGGACTTGGCTCCACAGATAGTGTAAAAATGTCATCCAGGTGATCAATGGTTATGTCTTTGGGGATGCCGAAGTCAGAAACCCAAGAATCGCACGTGACTTCTCTCTTACCCCTTGCATTCAATCAGTTATCAAGGCCATTGATTCTTCTGCAGTGGCCCTGACATGTCTCCTCTTTCCTCTTTCCTCAGAGGTACCACATTGACCCAGGCACCCACCATTTCTTGATCGACTGTATGGTGATCTTGTGACTGGTCTCATATCATCCATTTCCTCGCTTGACCTAATTCTTTCTCCATTCCAGACAATCTTCTGAAAACTCAACCTTAGTTTCAAACTCTCCAAAGAGCCCCTCTCATCTTCACAATGTACTTCAAATTCATTAGTGTGGTTTATAAGACCTTATATGGTCAGAGCCTGTTCGTGTCTCCTGCCTACCCCCCACCTCTCCCCTAATGGCCCTTCAGCCTTTAGTGAAGGACTATGCAGGAAGCAGCCCCATCACTTTAACTAGAGTAAGGATGCTGTTGAGAGAATCACAGGAGAAGTGTAGTTCTCCTTTTAATGTTTTCCTGTGTTTGAGAATGTAGTTGACTTTTGACTTACGGGACACTGAGAACTTCTGCAGTAATGAATTGTCTCCTTTTTCTTTTGATACTACAAAAGAAGTCAGGAGCTCCCCTTCTGCCCCCCATCATAAATCAGACACCCTGGTGTGAATTTAACTTGTTTCCTTTTGACTTTCTACATCTCAGTTATATTCTCTTACAGTATTTTATGACTCTTTGAAGCTCCTTTGAAACTCTTGGGGAGTGAGACAGGAGTTGAGAGGTCAGTGTCCTGCCATGTGGCTGACTCTTCCTTTGTCACTTAGGAGGTGGAAGCACAGTTGGAGGAAGTGAAGAAGAAATCAGAAAATGAAATAAAACAGCTGGAAGAAGAGAAATCAGCCCTAAATGTGAAACTTCAGAATTCTCTGCTTGAGGTAGGTTCCGACTAAATACAATGCTTAGGAGAGGTGGCTCTGGGCCCTGGCAGCTTCTGATCTGCTGTGATGCCTGGCTCTTGGGACACTGCCCTGACCTGGTCACAGCTAGCATCCTGAGATGAGGGAAAAGGACTTTGGCTCGACAGGAAGGGGGGCTTCTCGGGGGGGCACAGATTTAGCGGCAAGTAGCAGAGCCTGGTTTCTAGAAATTTATAAAAGAGAGCCTGCTGATGTTGATTGTGGTGCTAATTGATATTGGTCCTGGTAAACCTGCGATTCCCGCTCTCTTTCTTGCTTTGATTTTTATTTCTTTGAGTAATAGCCCAAGTAATTTACCTTTTATTATTGACATAACATTGCGTTGTAGCATATGAGTTTCAGAAGTTCATTGTTGAAAATCAGCACGTGTACGTACATTCAGGTCACCACTCAGAGTCCAGCTCTGCCCTTCACAACCTTGTCCTGATGGCCCCCTCCCCATGCCCTTCCCCTCTCTTAGGTCCCCTTCTGTCCTTCTTCCTTCCCCTTGAGTCCTTACTGAACTTAAGATACTGTCTAAGCAGTTTACATGTATTAACTCTTTTCCTTTACGTATTCTATCTCTGCTTTACAAATGAGAAACTTGAGGCACAGAGAAGGTAATTACCTCCTCAAGGTCACACAGGTAACAAGTAGCAGATCTGGGATTCAAACCCAGGTAATAGGACTTTAACCATTCCCACCTCTAAGCCCCCACTAATACCCACTGGGGTACAGTTTACTACTCATTGGTGAACCAGCATCATTCAGAACCTGAGTGTTTACAGTTGGCAAAGCACGACCCAGAGGCTGACCTTGGACCAAGTGCCTCAGATCTGCTCTTCATCCTCCACTTCTTCCCAGTAATGGTGTCATTATTGAGCCACCCGCTTACCACAGCCAGGAATGGAAGAATCACCCTGACCATATCCGCCTCCCCTGCTCTCCCGTGTTCACCGCAAGTCCCTGCCCTGCCCACCAATACATTCTGTCTGTTGTGAAATCTGGTGGGTCCTGACACCTAAACCTCTCTGCCCGCCCACCCCCCTCCTTGTTACACCATTGCTTTGGTCAAGACAATAGGAATGATTCTCCTGGACTTTTAAAAGGTTGTTTATTGATATTACATAAACGACCACACAGGACTCACTCGAATATTTCATAAGCCTTAGCAAGATGCAGTAAAAGGAGTGCCATAATCCTTAGATACTTCTTCCTCCAATATTCATCATGTCAAATAGAAAGCACATTCTGATGGCCTCGCTATTCTGTGAAATCTAAAGTCTTGCAAGAGCCTTCCTTGTCCTTTATCTCCTGCCTCCACATTCTCCCCAGGCCAGCTAATTCCAGAACTACCATTCTGAAACCAAGTCTGCTCCAGGCTCTACTCCTCCCTAAAATCTTGGATCTACTCATGATTCACAATGTGGCTCAATCTGACCCCCCAGAACTTCCCCCCTGGACTCTGCCCCGTTCTGTCCACTGCTTCATGCTGGGCTCCCCTCCCCGACATGGAACCACTTCCAGCACATCTGCTAGTCCTGTTGTCTGGAGTGTTCTTTCTTGCCTTTGCCTCTGACCGACTCCTAGTCACCCTTCAAAACCCTTAAGGCTTCCCTGGACTTCCCTGAGCTGAGCTGATTGCTGAAAATTCTTTGCAGTAGTGCCTTACAGGGGTTAATACCATAGAACGCTGAAATCGGTGCCTGGCACATTCATGTTGCTCTTATCATAGTGTCTGTACTCACCTGAATGTCGCTATGGTTACCATCATCTGTCTCCCCACTACCTCCAACATGAGCTTCTTGAAGGCAGGGACCGTCTTTTATTATCTTACTACCCACCCCCCACTGCACCCTTCCCTCTTCCTTCCCACCTAGCCTGGTACCTGAGAAAACCAGGTTTTTACAAAGATTTCTCAACAATGTCTCCATTACCCTTATGGTTATTGGCATTGTTCTTTTCAGAGTCGAAGGCAAGGAAGTTTGTCTGTTTAACTGATGCTCTATAATTAGTTGACTGATGGTCACCATCCTCAGTAAGGCATTACAAGTTAATAGTTCTCCTAGCCTCCCTTCTCTCATATTATCTATGAGATTATTCTTAAATATTTAATTCTTAAATATTGTCTCTTTTTAAACAACTAACTTAAAAAAAAAAAAAAAGGAAACAGAACGGGCTTCCAGGGATGGTAGGAAACCAGCAGATGCCACCCTCCAGAGCTCGTGTCAATACCTGCATGTAAATAATTGAAGGGGAGTGTAACCCTGCCCGGTGTCGCCTTGTGCAGCGACCAAGCAAACAGCTAATTAGAAATGGCCTAAGTGGGTTTGGAGTTTGTCTCAGGAGGCGCTCTCCCCAGAACTAATTGACTCAGGAGAATGAGTCCCCAGGTTGGTGACCACAGCCTTTATTTCATGCTTAGTGGTTCTTTTCTTCTCTTTCAGGTTTTAAGGCTGGAAGAATTTATCCAGCAAAATAAGGCACACTCCCCAGGAGGCAAGGAAAGACCCCAGGAACCAGACCGCCAATGCTGCAGTGTGTTAGAGACCCAGGTAACCCCTGGCTTCTTTCTGCATTGATTAAGGGAAATTTCTTTTCTCTCTTTCAGCACTTTGGTGTCTCCAATGGCATTAATGAGCTCTTTTATTACCCCCTTCAGAGCTGCCAAATGCCTGGGGAAAAAAATCCACATGTGCAAAAACCGTAAAGAAAATAGTTCTGAGTAAGTTATCCCTGTGGCCTGAAAAAGAACAAGGCTGTGTCTCGTCCACTCTGAGAGCAAACGTGGCTGGCAAATAAAGGGGCTCTCAGCTAAAGAGGGCCCCCCTCCTCCCGCTGACCTCTGCAGCCCTAACATCAGTTACTCTCAACCTAGCCCGCCCCAGGACACTGCCCCAAAGGAGGCTGCCCCGGCACAGAAGCTCATCCCATTTGTCCTAGGATTGCTATCATGAGTGCGTGCCCTGAACCTCAGAAATGTATCGTCTCCCAGTTTGGAGGCTGGAAGCCAAAGTCAAGGTGTTGGCAGATTGGGCCCCTCTGTAGGCTCTGAGGGAGAAACTGTTTCCTGCCTCTCTTCTAACTCCCTGGGCCTGCTGGACTCCTTGGAGTTCTGTGCCTTAGAGAGAGGTACAGACCCTTCTGCACAGGGTTCCAGAAGGAAGCTTATGAGTATCAGTTCCATTTGCACATTATTCATTCATTCCACAGTAGTTTCTGGAGTCCCTCCATGTGCCCGCCTCTGAGTTAGATGCTAAAGAGAAAAAACATGCATTAAAAAAAATAGCTTATCAACAATGAGGACACTTAGCCACAGAGGTGAATGTCTGGTGCTGTTTTCTAGTATGCAGCTATCCTGCGCTTTATAGGTATAGATGGATCATTGAAATTAAGTTTTCTTTTCAAATAGATAATCCACATACATGGCACAGAATTCAAAAGGTAGATAAAGGTATGCAGCAAAAAGCATGCGCTCTCCCCAAGTTCCCTGTCTATAAGTTCTGTTTTGTCTTTTCTTGTACATCCTTTCAGAACTGCACCGTGCATATGCACACATAACCATGCATGTGTTTTGTTTTTTTTTTCCACGAATGATAACAAACTGTCTCCTGAACTCTGCTTTTCTTCAGTTTTTAGCTTGGAGATTGGAACACATCAGCACGCCTCCTTATCAACTTCATTTTTTAAAAAGGACCATCATCTGGTATTCTCTTGTGCAGAACAACTGTAATACACTTAACCTTTCCCTTCTCACCAATATTTAAATTGTTTCTAATTTTTCATTGTCATGATAATTCATCAGCAGGCAGCACTGTACAATGGAGTTCTGTCTCTGTCGTAGTTAAGCGAACCCGCCCATGAACTAGGTGACTGGGTTCTTACTGACAATCTTGGGCAAATGCTTTAAAGTCTCTTTGCTTGAACTTTCTCATCTGCAAAGTGGGGGTGATGCCACCCCCATCTCTGAGGGTTTTTGAGATGATTAAATGAATTAATATGTGCGTGGGTCTGAAACAGCACCCGGCACGTGAAATGCTCAATAGGGACTAACTTATGATTGTAGAATTTGCTGGACCCCAGGGCGTGCGTGTGTTTGACTTGGTTAGATATGCCACATTGCCTCTCCCTAAATTATCCCAAAGTCTAATCCCAAGGGCAGTAGCTGTGAATGCCAGTTTCTCCCAACTTTGCCAACACACTGAGTTACAAAACTTTCTGAGTATGGCCAATCAGAGAAAATTTATATTGCAGTTCAAATATTTTTCACAAATCAATTATGTGGCAGCCAAATGGGTCAAAGTTTTGCCAGCGCCCTAGAGACATGAGACCTAGAGAAGGCCCTGGGCTGGTCTGGGTGACGTGTGGGCAGCACACCCAGGGTGGTCTCGCCTGCAGCAGCACAGGATGCTGTGGGGGACAGAGGTGATGTGGAGGGTGTTTTGCTGGGCCTGGAGGATTCCATGGCTGATCTGGGGTTGGAAATAGGGACACTAGAACAGGGGGCTAAATGACAACTTCCTCAAAGATGATTTTGCTGAATCCCAGAGTCTAAAATGTATATTTGTTTAAGACTTAGGAGTTTTCCTTTAGGCCCTTAGCTGTTCTGACAAAGTGTGTCAGTGAGTCGAGAGAGCTATAAATAATAGCGCATATTGAGACTTCACTTTCCTGAACATGAAGAGAGGGCGTTGCCCAGGCTGGGTGGGGCTCCTTCCCCACCCACCAAAGTGAGCTAGGACTATAAGGAACCTTTTGTTCTGGCCTCTTCTATCCAGTGTCCTTGATTCTCTTAGATTAATAGTTTTATTCAGTGGTTTCCAGAAAGTCATTTCCGTTTTGGTTGTTCTGAAGGGAAACTATTTGCTGAAAGACTTGTCCAGTGCCTGTATCACGGTTACCTGGGAGCAGAGAAGGGGTTTCCACAGATTCCCTGCCTGCACCCCTTTCCGCAGAAAGAGGGGAGTCTTTTGTGGTGTTATTATTCAAATCATTTCACCCTGACAAGTGTTCGCGTCCTGTGACTGTACTGGACTCAAGTGGGGGACATATATCTAGGCCAGCAAGAGCCTGTTATGGCACATGCTATCCTGGTGGCAGAATGTTCTCAGACAGCCAATAAGTGAGTGGAGGTTTCTGCCCAAGGGAGCCCCGGAAGTCACAGAGCAGGCATCACCTGCCTGGATACTGAAAGTTGAACTTGACTTTACCAGGAAGGGGCGTGGCTGGGGAAGGAGTAGGGTAAAGGTCCCAGGGCAAAATCCCTGAGGCTGGTAGGAAGAAGGACCAGGGCTCCGAAGTGCTCCCAGCCCTGGAGGAGTCCCTGGCTCCTGGGGGTCCTGCATGGTTGGCTGGGCAGCATCACCCTGAACCAAGCCTGGAGGATCATCTGAATCCTGGGCATCCGCAGATGAATGGCCACTAAGTCCTCCAACAACCATGATGGCCCACGTATCCCCTGCCCCAGGGCAGCTGCCCCATCTCGTGTGATTTGAGGGGTCCGGTTCCATCTGACATTGAACAAGGCAGGCTGCCCTGGACATCCACATGTGGAGAGCTAAGAGTCAGGCTGAGATTTGTGGGAGCCCTGGAAGACAGCAGAGAGCAGGGAAGCAGCTCCTGTCTGGGGTGAGGACATAGATCCTGCCCCAGCTTTATGCCAGACCTGCCCGGGGAACCTCAGGCAAGTCTGAAACCTCTCTAAGATCAGATTCCCCGTTATTCCTGTGTGCCAAGAACTTAGTGCTTTACACAGCCCCACCACCCCACCAGCAAGTGTTATTATTATCCACCTTTTACACAATAGGGAAATAAGGCCCAGAGAGCAACAGCAGTGCCCACTCGCTGCACCATGATACTAAACTGCTTCCCTTCCCGTAGTAAAAGGGGAGTGGTAACCCCTACCCTCTGCACCCCAGAGACTTGTGATGAGTGGAAGAAAGCATATAAAGGCACGTTCCAAAATGAAGAGTCTATAAATGTAAGGTGACCTTACAGTATCTATTACAATAATCATTTCCCCAAAACCCCATTGCATTAGATGATCTATTTTGAGATGTAAATAATTCTACCTTTGAAAGATTGTCAAACATTGAACTTGAGAATGACTTTGAGTATTCCCTTCCAGGCAATTTCCTGGGTGTGTGTGTTCCTTTAAAATAGAAATAATCCAGAAGAAAGTCAATGCCTGGAAGACGAATGATGAAGACCTGATGTGAACACTGGTTTAAAATAACCGGCTGTTTGTTTGAAAGGAGCTGGGAAGACACTTTTGCCGCGGATGGTGACAGGAGAGCCCAACTATTTATTTTTCTGTGTACATGTTAAATCCAGGCTACATTAGCACTAGAGAATGTGGGCAGAGCCCACGCAGGTGCCTGCTGGGGAAGCCAAGAGTGTGAATTAGGGGTTGGTAACCAGTGAAAAAACACCCAGAGTGGCCCAGGATTGCTCCGGTGAGGAGCTCACTGAGTACCAAACACAACCAGAAAAGGCAGCACCAGGAGAGGCTACTTCACTGAAATTTAGAGGAGACAGCAGAATTTAAACAAGTGTGGGGGAACTTGAAGGTGCTCTTGAGGTCAACTGTTGATCTCCGAGGTCAAGTGCATTTGTGAAGTATTCAAATTGCATCCTTACTCCTTTTGAATGATGTCCTTTGATCCAAAACACCTCCACAAAGATGCAGAAGAGAGAGGCGAATGTTTAAGCCTTTTACATGATCTGGTGGGTCCCACTGCTGAGTCATAAGTTTGTTGAAATTAAGAACTATGTCCTGCTCATCTTCATCCTTCCAGCATCTGCCCTACCTGCACCCAGCAGAGGTTTGGCTCTTTTTCTATGAATTGATAGTACATTGCAACTGAGTAAAGGGAACAGTGGGCCCCACGTCAAGTCTTGGTGGTTAAAGCTTAAGTTCAGAACTTTCAAAATTAGCCATGGCTAGAGAGTGATTTAGCATGACACGGGTGTCCTTCTCCAATTACTTGTCATGCTCTGCTTTGGTTTCATCACCTTTAAAATAAGGGGGAGTATTCATTTCCTTTTTGGGGATGGTGTTCTGCTCCTGTCTCTAGTGTTCAAACAAGTGAAAAGCAACTAAAGGATTACTGAGTTCATCCTGCTGTTGATTTGGGAAACAGCATTCATTTCTTGGGTTGATTCTGAATGTGTGTTTTGCAGGTACTTTTCAGCAGCATGCTTGTACAACGTGGCTTTCACACACCCAGTTAGGTTTAGCTGCTGGAGCTGAACGTTGTGCCCACATGGCACAGCCAAGGGCCAATGTGGTCCCATGGAATGACCATGATGGGAATCAGTCCATCCAGCAGTCCAGCCTCCCTGTATCCATGTGACCTGGGACTAGTCACGACTTCTCCAATCTCAGATCCTCACGTGTACTAACACACCTCCCGGCTGCATGAAGTCATAGGGGTCCATGAGTTGTGTATGGAAATAGACAAATGTGATATGACTTGAGCTAGTGTGGTTATCTGGGTGTGTCAGCTTTCAAATTTTCTATTTTCTCCTATTTCTGGACTCCTGCCCAGGATGCCTTTAAATATAGCCGTGGTCGATAAGTTGGTCCAGAAATTACATCCTGCACATTCCCTTTCATGGTCTGCACAGTGGCTCAGAGTACATTTGAAATTCTTTTTCATCTCTATAATAACTGTCTGAGATTTTTGTTCATTATTCATGTTGCTGCAAGTTCCTTCTCCCTTTTCCTTGATCAGACTTACCAGTAGTTTGACATTTCTTTTCAAAAGTCAGCTTTCAGATCTGTGGATCAGATCTATATTTCTCTCTCATTAATTTTATCTTTCTTATCCCTTCCCTCTTACTTTGGGTTTCCTTTCTGATTTCTTTTCTAGGTTCTTGAATGTTTTCTAATTAATACACTTAAGACTTCGTATTTCCCTTCTAGGTGAATGTCTTTAACTGTACCCCAGCGTTTTGAAGTTTATTTTCCTTTTAAACCTATTTTCATGATGCTTCTTAACTTTATTTTTATGTAGAATAACAGTATTCTAGAATAGCATCATGCTGAACTGTGTTGAAATTTGCTTCGTGGTCTGCTGCGGGGTCAAGTTTTTTTGTTTTTTTGTTTGTTTGTTTTTAATGAACCCAATGCAATGGAGAAAAGGATATATTCTCAGTTTGGTCATTAAAAGTCATTATATTTTAATCCCAGTTCTATGATCTATTCACTGTATGGCCTTGGACAGGTTACATATTCTCTCCTGTCTCAGATTCATCATCTCTAAAATGGGAAGAAGGTCCTCACCTCATGGAATTCAAGGCTGACATACACTAAGCACCATGTAAATATCAGCAGAGATTTGCATTCTTTTTTAGCTTTTAAGTTTAACTCGTTAATCTTGTTATTCAAATCTTCCTATCCTAGCTCATTTTGTCCACTAGATGTATCAGTTTCTGAGAGGTGTATGTTAAAACTCCCTACTGTAGCTATAAATTTGCCCATTTCTTCCTACAGTCCCAAACACTTTGCTTGATGTTTTCAAGGTCTATTGTTAGATGCCTACAGCTTCATTATTAGAGCATTTTAGCAAATGATTCCTTTTACAAGACTGAATATCCATGTTGAGATTAGCCAGTTCATATACACTGTGATTACTGGTATCACTAGAATTATTTTTTTCAACCATATTTTGTGCTTTCTGTGTACCAAAATTTCTTTGTAACCAGTTTTCAAAATGAAAACTGGACCTATTTAACTTTATCATAATTTAGCTATTTATGCTGTAGTATTATGCTATTCTGATTTCTTGTTGCCCCACATTCACTGTGCAATCTCCCCTTATATGTAACAGGGATGTATTCATACCAGCTATTTCTCAAAGTTGTTTTGCTGAAACTATGACATTTGTTTCTGGGCTTCCCAGGAATTGGAGCTCTCTGACACATTTTTAATTGCCCCCCCCCCAAATACTTGAAAGTAGGGTAGGCAAAGAAAAGTTTTTGTTTTTTGTAAGTGCCAGGTCTTGCAACCATTTCGTGGAAAACCCAGGTTGCAAATGATCATTATTTAATGAGATTTACCAATAAACAAATCTGTACCTAACCTGTCTAATTACACTGTTTTCCATAGACAGTGGTTACCATGACAAGTAGAAAAATCTAAGTAAGAAAATCTTTCCCACCTTTATAACTCCGTGGGAAGAAGGATAACATGGACAATCCCAATCTGAAGAAAGTTCTGAAGTCTGGATATTGACTCATGGTGTCCATATTCTCCTCCCACAACACCTCCTTCCTTAACACTGCTAGTCATTCAGCAAGCTCCATGGGCTTTGACTGTATGTAGTGAGATGCAAAAGACTTGCCACCTGTAGGGGGTTATTATAATAATAATAGTAATAATAATATCAATTACACAACTTGACCAACGGCTGTTTGCTGGCACTATTCTCTGATTCCCATGCCAGGCCCTGGGAGCAGACACAACAAGGGCCCCTCTCTGTGGACTGTACATCATAGTGTGTCGTGGGTGGCTCAGCATCCAGACCCCTGCATGGGGTTGCTGATTGCTTGTCCCATTACCCAACACTCACTGATAGTGTATCCCGACACGAATCACTCGCTCTCCCCCTACTTTAATCTCATCATCTGTGCAGGATTCTCAGTTGACTGGAAAACAGGAAACAAAGACCAGGGTGATGGTCTCCTCAGGCGGGAACTGTGCAGGCACTGCGCCATCACAGCTCTCTCTGCCCCAGGCCTGTGAGCTGTGCACAGCAGTGGGTTGTGGGGGCCTCTTTCTCCTCCAGTCTGTGGTTCGGATAAGCCATGCATTGATTCGGTGACTGTACTGAACCTCATTTGCAACTCATGTTTGCAACTTTGTTTTTGTCTTAGGATCCATGCATGAAGCTGCGTAAACCTTCTGAGACCTTAGCCCGAGAAGAATGCCAAGAGAAGGTGGCCGCGGAAGGAGCCAGCAGTGACGAGGAGGAGAGGTACCGAAGGACGTGCCAACTGCTAAGTGTGCCAGCAACGAATGAGGGCTCAGATTTGGAAGGATCGCTCATTCTGTTCTCATGCATCCATCCCTGCCCCTTGCATCACGCACAGAGAGGAAGCAGGACATTTCTTATGTCTTTTGGTGCAGCAAGAAGCTTTAGATGAACTCTTGTTTAATTGTCACACCAACCCAGACAGGCTGTTTTATAAGTTCTTAATCTCAAACTGAAAAGTGTCAGTAGACTTGCCTGGGCTGGCCCAAAACCTCTGCTCTCTCCTCCTCTAAGTGTTCTTTAGCTAGGAGACCCGAGGGAGCTTTATCACCCAGGGGTCCTCTGTCCCTGTCACCAAGGAGTCTGTATTTGCTGGTGTAACCAACATTCTCAAAGTGCTAGTGATTTTGAGTTCACAAGGCAACTCCCTTTGTTTTTAGCAATGCCAAGCTCTGCTGTGCCCCTATGAGATTGGCTTCTGGCTGAGGTCAGGTGCTGTTGCGTGACCCCAAATTACAGGTGTACTTCAAGTCTATTCCACATTCCTTGTCATCATTCTGGGGCCAAGGCTGAAGAATTAACTCCTGTATAGGGCATGTTGTTGTCATGGTAAAGGAACGAGCTCATAGGGCCAACACCAATGCCTTTGAAGCCCACACTCAGGGTACACTCTCTGAGAAACAGAGAGGTTAAGTAACTTGCCCAGGGTCACAATGCAAGTAGAGCACAGAATTTGGATGATAATCGCTTTTTGCTGCATCTCAACTTCGGGCAGCTGTTCTTATGCGCAGAATGAAAGTCCACAGGTTTCTACCCTTACCGGGTCACTCAATCCTTTAATAATCATCACTAATAAGAACTGAACTTCTACTTCAGGCCATCATAGAGTAACTGGTACCAGACTCTCCCACTTTCTTTAGACAATTATGAAACTGGGCAAAATAGATTGGGAAACGTTTTTGAGTATGGGCCATTATGCAGAGACTATTTGAACTACACTATCAACTAATTTAACCTAATTGACAGAGACAATATGCTGAAAAACTGCAAAATTTTTTTTCTTTCAAGGCACATAGGACATCCACCAATGTAGACAATATAAAAAGCCACAGAACAAATGATGATCCATTTCAAAGATTGGAATATATTCCAAAATATATGCATTTTTCAGAGGATGTTCCTTGATAGCAAAGAATTAAAATAGAAATAATAACAGGAAGCTACCAAGAAAATCCTCAAATATTTGGAAATTATCAGTCTACATCTAAATACTAAACCATAAGACAAAAAATAAAATCACCATGGAAACAAACTATTTCAAATTTGATGATAATAAATATGTGACATATCAAAATTGGAGGGATAGGACTAAAGAAGGCAATTTATAACTTTAAATACTAGCATATAAAAATGTTCTAAGATCCATTATCCAGTCTCTGTAGAGGTGCCCACCCCATTCCTTTTTCTGTCACCCAGATAACCACTTACCACCCCAGTCTAAACCAATTGCTTTTGAACTTCTCAGCTGGTTCAAAAGTTCAGAGCTGAGTCCCCTCCCAAGACATTTGTCAGCATCTGTTGCACAGCACAGAAACTATTGGGACTTTAGACCAGCGTCATCTTGTTCCTGCTACACATGTAAAGGCCTATTAATAACCCTCCTATTTATACTTGGGGGCAGCCAGTGACAGTTATGAGCAAGCTTTGAAAGGTGCCAAGCACTGTATTCAAGAAAAGCATTATTGTTTCATTATTATTTTTTTCACATGCAGGAAGATTTACAAAATTAGATCAGAGAGACCTCTTTTTTGGAGCTCCCAAATAAGGAACTCTGAGCTCTCGATCTGACAGCACATCACTTATTAAGCTCCCACTGGAATAGCTCTCGGTAGTTCCACCTGCATCCTGATCTCATCCAAGTGCAGCAACACAGAGTTAGTATGTTGAGGGGGAAGTTTCTTGCCCTACCAACCGCCACTGAGCTCCTTTCTCTTGCCCAGCTATTTCGGTGGTGGTGTGTCCAGTCTAGGGTCCTATGTAATTGTGTCCTTTGTGTCTTCAAAGGAGCCAAGAGCCCCTCCAGGAGGGTGGTGAACGGCCACCTGCACAGGGCTCTGTGCTGGAGGAGAAGACACCAGAAAGCCAGTGTCTGCAGGAGGAATGGCAGAGCCAGAAAGCCCGACTGCAAGCCCAGGTAGCAGGCCCCTTGGTGGGAAGGTGCCCAAACGCAGCGGGAGCACCTGTGCCTTCCTCCTATCCCCCACCCCTTCCCTCCTCCCCCAAAACGCAGGGCCTGATTTACATCGAGCCAGGAAGGGCCTTCCGGGGCTGGCCAGGTGACACTCTTCTGTTTGTTCATTCATTCAACACCCGCTGCGCCTCAGGACCACCTGCGCTGACCCAGGAGCTCTTCCAAGTGCCTGGGCTACTCTAGTGAGCAAACCAGACTAAAGACCCCCATTGAAGTGCTTAAGTCTAACAGAGAAGGGGGGAACAGAGTGTGCATGCTAGAGAGAGAGGTGAGCAAAGCACGTAGTGCCTGAGATGACAAGGGCTTCAGAAAAGAAGATTCAGAGCAAGGTAAAGGGGCTGGAGGGGTCTGGTGATGGGAATAGTCTCATACTACATGGACTTGTGGGCCAAGGTTCGGCAAGAAAGCAAAAGCTTGAGCAAGCACCTGAAGGAGGCGAGCGAAGCCGCCAGATAGGTCTCTGGAAGGCCTTCTGCTGACCACTCTGGGACAGTTTGCGTCCCAGCCCATCTTCCTCTCTCAACTGGCATCAATGGCTCTAACTGAGAGCCCCCCACTCCCACCCATCCCAGGAGACCCACTGTCCCCAGTTCTTAGAGTTTACAGTTTCCATCCCCTTCAGAGTTACCACAGACAGAGGAGGCTCAGCTGGATTGAGGAGACATTCAGAGCATTCATTTATTTTTATTTTCTAAATTGTATTTTTTTTTTAAATAAGGGAATGTTGGTTTTCAACTCTGTATGTGATTTTGGGGTCTCTTCAGTTGTGTGTTACCACACCAGGCGCACCACTGGCCCCCTCCTCCTTCCCCACAATGCATTTATTTTTAAAGAGGAGGCCAGAGGGGCCGGCCTGACCTGAGGGCCCCGGCAGGTCTCGCAGATGCAGCAGGCCCTGGAGCAGTGCGCCAGCCACTACCAGAAGGATCTGCAGGAGCTCAGGGAGCTCTCAGAGCAGGAGAGGGAGACGCTGAGGTGCGAGCTCCAGGAGACCGTTCAGCAGAACCAGGCGGCCAAGGTGCAGCTGGAGGCCTCCCACCAGCGAGCCCTGCACCTGCTCGAGAAGGCCCAGCAGCAGGAGCTCAGGGTGAGGCCGTGCTTCTCAAGTCCACTCCCTATCGAGCACCAGCCATGCAGGTTTTCTAGTCCATCATCTCCAACCCCCACAAGAGCCCCACCAGGTCATAAGTAGCCATTTTTATCCATTATCATCCAAATGAGTAAAGAGGCTCTGGAGACCCAGTAACTTGCTCAGGGCCACCCGCAAGGACTCAGACAGGTTTGTTGGGCTTTTTGTGCTGCTGCTTCCGACCTGCCCTGGGGATGGTGTGGCCTCAGCTGTCTGCTCTGCCCCTGCGACCTCACTGACCTCCCAGCCCCAGGACTGCCTCCCCACAGCCTCTGGGGGGACCCTACCCACTCCAGCCTTCAGCCCTGTATGTTCTGACTATCAAAAGTTGGTAGTGGTGGCATTAATTATCCCTGCATCTTTCCTGTGTGACCTTGGGAAGGTGCATTCATTTCTCCCTGCCTCAACGTCCTCATCTGAAGAGTGGGACTCTATTTTCTGCGTTGGGGAAAATCCTGACTGTATTATTTCTCTATTGCTCCTGTAACAAATTACCCTGATGACATAACACAGCCCAGATATATGATCAGACAGACCTGGAGGCCAGAGTCCTGAAGCCAAGGCGTGGGAGGTGGCTTCGCCCTAAGGGCTCTAGGGGAGAATTGGCTTCTGGCCATTTCTGGCTGCTAGAGGCCACTCACACCCCTTGACTCCTGGTGCCTTCCTGCATATCAAAGTACTGGGGGCATCTGCTGTGCGTGCTTGACATATAACATTCCCTCTGTTAATGGATGTCGGAGTGAAAGAGGGACTGGGTGAAGGAGCATGTACATGAACCCAGGGCAGAGACTCAGGCCAGGACCCTCGTCAACCAGGGGCTGGAAAAATCCGTGGGTGCCCCCTCCCACCATTTCTGCCATGCTCTGCACACCAGGCCTGGACTCTTCACAGGCATTCCCCCTGCCTCTCTAGTCCTGGGTCAGATGTAAGACTCCTGCGTGTGTTAAAATGGGAGCCAGCCAGTCAGTGTCTGTCAGTCTGACTCTTGCTCTCTCTTTCCCCCACCTCCTCGCACCAAATTCCCCATAATTGGCAGGAAGTAGGTTTACATGACACAAAATATCTGCCGTGGTCAGGTCATCGCTGTCATGCCTAACGGGTGGGAGAGCATTCCCTGTAGCGGGATAAGCTCTCCACAGCGGAGAGGGTGTGCCCAACAGGGCCCCAGCACAGAGGAGGAGCTTGCCAGAGGGGCCAGGCCTCCCCTTCTGAGCCCTTTCTCTTGCCTCGGCCTCCACTCCTGCCCACAGGCCACAGAGGAACGCTTGAAGAAGGAATCCAGCCTCAGCCTGCAGATGCAGCACCAGGCGCATCAGCGGCAGCTCCAGGCCCTGGAGGAAAAGGCCCAGCAAGAGCTGCAGGGGGAGCTGGAGAGGATGCAAGCTCAGCAGGCTCTGCTGCTCGGTAGCCAGGGTAGCACGTAGGGGGGAGGGTTGAGGGAGGGGGGAGTCAGAAGGCTAGAGGCACACAGGCCAGTTGACTGCCCGGGCTCAGCCCCCAGCCAGCTGTGAGACTAGAGTGGGCATTTTCAGCCTCATTTACAGTTGCCACGATGGTCCCTATCTCCTCAGGCTTGTGTGGGTTTGATATTAAGTGTTACCCGCCCGGCACTGGTAACTGAGCCGAGTGACAGTAGCTCCAGTACTCACTGACTGGGTGACCTGGGGCAAGTTGCTTAACTGCTCTGTGCCTCAGCTCCTCGTCTGTAAATAATGGAAATCATCATGGCATCCACTTGTTAGGCTGTTATTAGATGAATATTTGGGAAGTGTTGAGAACAGAGCCAGGGTGCGGGGACAGCTCTGCAGTGTTCCCCGTGACTGCAGAATACCCCAGCATTGCATGGCTGCTGGAGGAGCCTTCTTCCATGCAGAGATCACCTCTCGCCCTCATTTTCTCCTTTACTTAACATCTTCCATTTTATTCTTAAGTGCAAGGCAAATGCCTGTCCTATTTTATGCTTAGTGTTAAAAAGCCATGTTGGTCTAATTGAGGCATATTCAGGCAGTGCTGCTCTTCAGAGAAGTCTGGGGAAAGGCAGTTGCTTGGCCTCCATGGAGGGTGGCTCTGCCTGCTGCCTGCCTGAGTTTCCGTTAGACAGTGTATCTTACTGACTGCTCATTTCTGGAGGAGTGATGTGGGGAGCAGTAAGGAGAGAGTTCCACAGATTGCCTGGTTAGCAGCCACCCTGGAAGGGAGGGGATCCCGTGGAAAATGCTAAAGTTAGCAGCATCTAAGGAAGACATGTTACATGACATAAGTCCCAGGCTGTGCCATGGATCCCAGGTACAAGACCCCTCACTTCAGATCAGACTGGACACCCCTGGTGATTCCAGCACCCCAGGGGACAGATGTCCTTGTCACCCCTTCCCTGGCCCCTGGGATCCCACAGCAGCCTGGTGTTTTTATGGACAGAACAATCAGGAGAGACCCTGGGGGCACAGTCCTAGGAAGCGGGGCTCTGTGGACTCTGTAATGGTGGCAAATCATAGGCTACGTGCAGATTTTCGAAAGTTGTGACAGAAAAATATCAAATTTACTAGCACTTAAAAATATTTCCATTTGAAAATTTATCAGCTCACTGGCGAGCATCTCCTCTATCAGAGGCTTCTATGGAAACAGCCTCCGAGGGGTCAGCACAGTTAGTGTTCAGCACCGACAGTCTTCATTAAAGTGTCCCACTGAGGCTTTTCCGACTCCACAATGACGTGCAAGTGTTCCGAGACGCTTAAAGCAGGCAGGCCAAGCTGCATGTTCAGTGGGTTAGGCGTATTCAGTGCCATTTTGGCTTACAATGGGATGGCGTGATGTGGCTATAACCCCATTATAAGCTGAGGAAGACCCGTCCATGGTATAGTTGTTACTGTCATCTTGAGTCTGGGGACCCTGATCTGAAGCTCCAGCCCACCCCAGAGACTGCCATCCTACAGGACACGTCAGCCTTGCCCCTGTCCCGACCTCCCGCCCTCTCGCTTCCAGAGTCCCTCCAGAAGGAGCTGTCAGAGCAGCGGGCAGCCTGCAGTGAGCACCAGAAAGACTTGGAGGCGCTGAGAGCTCTGGGCAGCTTGGGCAGGCGGCAGGCCACTGCCCCGTGTCCAGGGGACAGGGAGGACCACGCCATCACCGCAGAGGTCAGCACCCCTGTCTGCTACCTCCATGCCCACCAGAGCAGCCTCAGGGCTCTGGGCACTCCGTCCTTCCTGTCTGGAATTGGGGTGGGGGTCCCTTCTTCCACAGACCTGAGGACTAGAGGGTGAAGCCAGGGAGGGTGGGGTGCATGAGAGATTGGTCCGCCAGGCGCCAGGCCTCCCCTCCCCTGGCTGGAGGAAGCCCTGCGCCCTCTGGGAGGACCAGCAAGGCCTCCGTGGTTACCTGCACAGAGAAATGCCAGGGTGCAAGGGGGATGAGAGGTGAAAGGGCCCCCAAAGTGTGGGTGTCTGATATGGTCATGGCTGCAGGGAAGCGCTGCCCTCTGATACTGTTCTCCTCTCTGTACCCGAGACAGAGCGGGCGGTGGTAATCCCTCACTCCTGATAATCAGGGTGCCCTTAGGACCGCGCCTTCCTGCTCTTGCTCTCCAAATTATTCCTGTGTGTGCGCCCCGTATGCTGGAGGGAGCCCCTGGTCGTGCAACCCCAGGCAGGAAGCACGTGGCGGGGCCCGGGCCACCGAGGCGCCAGCGCAAAGGCCTGTCCTCCCCGCGCCCCCCCATGGCGGGCACCGGAGCGCGCTGTGGGCGCATCTGAGCCGCGGCCTGCTGAGCTTGGATTTTTGTGTTTCTAGCTGAACCGCTGGCATTCAAGCAAATTCCCCTTAGCCAGCTGCATTCGCGGGGTGCAGCTCAGCCCCGCGCTGGGCACTGTGGGGCTGGACACAGGAGGAGGCGGTTCCTTTTGGCCCAGCGGCCGGTCTCGTGAAGGACCCAGCACCGAAAGGGTCCCGCGCTCCTCGGTGCAAGGGGCTGCACGGAGGAGACGAGGTTCTGGGGTGTCAGGAAGACGGGACTTAAGGCTTCCCCCGAAGTGGCCGGCCAGGCCTCCCTCGGGAAGCAGGGGTGTCCTGTGGAGAGGACAACCCCCCAGAGAGGCGCGCCAGGGCGAAGGCGCCGCTGCGTGAAAACAGGGGCCGCGCTCGGCTGGCTTTGCCGGGAGCCTCAGCCCCGGCTCCCCGCGCCGCGGCGCTTCCTCGGGGCCACACCCGGCCGGCTCTCCGCGCAGGGGCTCGCGCGGCTCCCCAGGCTCCCCAAAAGCCTCTCGGGCGCACAGCAGCAGCCCTGATGCTGCTAAGCCGTCGTGGCCTCGGACAACATCTCGCCCCGGTACTTTCTTGCCAGGATGGGGACGGCCCGGGCCAGGCGGGGTCCCCGATGAGCGCGGCTGAGCAGGGGCGCAGCGAGGGCGGCGGCCTCGGGGAGGAGAACACGCAGCTCAAGGACGCGGTGCAGCGCCTGCGGGCGGAGCTGGACGCGCTGCAGCAGGGCGCGCTGCCGCCCGGCGACCCGCGCAGGTGGGTGTGCGCCACCCCCACCCGCGCCCCCATCTGCCTGCTCCTCTTCTGCCTGGGGCGGGCCTGAGGTCTAAAATTGGCCCCCACTGGGATCTTCCCAAGGAGAAGACTCCCCGCGCACTCCGGCTTTCCACGGGTGCCACCGTGGCGGGGGAGATCCCCAGGGCGCACGGGGTTCTCGGTTTCCAGGCTGCAGGGGAGCCGCCCTGCACAGTGGCGGGAATCCCAGCTCCCTGCAAACCAGGGCGTTTACAGCATTGGGCCTAACCAAACCAAAAGTATGCTGAAAACCTGTCTGCGCGAGGAATGCCATGGAATGTTCCAGGCAGTGCTACCCACTTTACTATCTGTGCGTTGGCCCTGATCTGGAGCTCACTCTCCCCCAGCCCCACCCCCCATCCAGGCTGCTGGCGGTTGCCTTCGGGTGGGGGCCATGAGGTGTGAGCGAGGGCTTAGCATGGCCCCTGACATGGAGCAGGCGCTGGTAAATGGTGGTGGGCACTCTTACCTGATGTGGGTTGGGCAGCCGGGTTTTGTCCTGAATTTGCCACCGACCCCGCCCCCACACCATCCTTTTGGCACGGGAAGGTTTATCACTACAAATTTAATTTCATTAAGGTATAGGACTTTTCAGGTTGTCTGTTTCTTCTTGAGGGAGCTTTAGTCATTTGTATCTTTCAAGGAATTTTCCCATTTCATCTCAGTGGTGGAGTGCCCAGCCCCCAGCATAGAGTTACACAAAGTGGATTAGACCCCAGTCTCGTCTGGAGCCCAACCTTGTGCCCACCTGGCCAAGGTGGAGCACCTCAAGTCAGTTACTGGCTCAGACAGGTCACTGGAACAAGGAGGGGCCCCTAACCATCTGGGGTTACAGCTCTCTCCAAGTGAGGAAAGCCATGGTCCTCTGCCAGGGGGCTGTAGTGACACAAATATGCGCATGTCCTTTCTGAGGGTGCCAGGCCCCTGACACTGGTTTGTGGGTCCCTGGTGTCCTACCTCTAGGTTAAGAAAAATGACAGCTGGTGGTTGCAGATAGATTGTTCTGAGCGAGGGTTAGCATGACTCGGTCTTGTGGTAACCCTATAGGGAGGCGCTGTTGTCACCTCCACTTAACAGATGAAGAAACTGGGCCAGGTGTAACTTACCTGAGGCCGCGCAGCTAGGAAGCCATGGAGGGGCCTGGCTGTAAGCATGTCTCTCTCACCCCCCACCCTGTGCCACCGGCTTTTCCACCCTGGACTGTCATCTCACCGCTCATAGAACCCGGCTTTTCAGTAGTTCTGACACAGATCCTGGTCTCCAGGGTCCCCATCTGCCCCAGGTGAGAGATTTTTCAGGGACCCCACCCCCCGCCCCGCAGAGCTGTTCTGCACTTCCAGAGGCTGCTCTTCATGTTCAAATTTACCCTCTGTGGAATGTGGGGTGGAAGGTGCTGAGAAAGGGTCCCACAAGCTAAATTTATCCTGAACCCTGCAACTCAGAGACCCAGGTCTACCTCCCATACGGTCCTGACCTCACATTCACCACTTCTCCCCACTCATAGCTCCCAAACTGCGTTACCCAGCAGATGGGGGAGCCCCAGTGCCCAAGATGTTCAGCTCCGAGAGCTGAACAAGCTGCTGTGCTTCTGTCCACCTGCAGGCCGCTGGAGGAGGACCAGCGGGCCCGGGAAGTGGAGCTGCTGCGTCAGGAGCACCGGAAGGAGATGCAGGCCATGGTGGCAGATTTCAGCACCGCTCAAGCCCGCCTCCAGGCCCGGCTGGCCGCCCTGGAAACCGAGTAAGTGGGGCCGGGCTGGAAGGAACTGGTGGTGCCATTTCATTAGAGCAACACACCATCCTAGTGCCCCCAGAGCCTCCAGTTTTAAAACCAGTCAGTGTTCCTGATGCCAAGAATCACCTGAGTCTCCAGGCAAACTGGGAGGCCAGCCTCTCAATAAGTCTGCATTGCCTTGTGTGCTGGGCAGTGGGAATCCAAGGGCTGAGCCCAGGCTCTTGGTTTGACTCTCACACTAGGAAGAAACCTGCAGGATCAGCTACTTTTTATGAGCATTTGCTCTATTCCAATAGGCATTGCCTCTTTTAATCTTCACTGCAGTCCTTCAAGGTGGAAATTATTATTCCCCTGACAGATAAAGAAATTGAGGGCCCAGCCTGCTTGTCTGCATGTGTGCATTTATTCACTCAACAAATTTTTATTGAGTGTCTACTCTGTGCCCTGCACTGTTTTAGGCTCTGGAGTTACAGCAGGGAGCCAAACACAGACGGTGTCCTCCTACAGCTCACAAAGTTTACACGCGGATTTAGAAATAAGCAAACAATAAGTGTTCGCCTTCAAATTAGCTGATGAAAGTGTTAGAAGAAAAACAGGACCTGTTTCTAGAGAGTGGCAAGAGTGGGCAAAGAGGCCTTTTCAAGAGGGTGTTTTTTTTTTTAATTAATTAATTTATTTATACAAGCACTGGGTACAGTCAGAAGCATGGGAGGGTGAGAGAATTCACCAGAGCCAGAGCCGGGAGCAGAACAGACTAACTGACGGAAGTACACTGCTGAGGGGAGCAGTGGGCGCTGCAGGAGAGGTCTACATGCCATGTGGGACCCTCACCCGGTGGCTGGGGATCAAACCGGTGTGCAGAGGCTACGGGTAGCTTCGCAGCCCAGCGCTCAACCACTGTGCCACCGGGAAAGCCCTTCAAGAGGGTGTTTAAGCCCAAGGAGGAGAGGGAAGGAGAAAGGCACCTGGAGGAACAGCATTCCTAGCAGACTGCACAGCACATGCAAAGGCCCTGGGGCCCACTTTACATGGCCAAGTAGCCAGAAGGCCCGTGTGGCGAGGGGAGTGAGTGAAAGGTGAGTGGCAGGATTTGAGCTTGGTGGGTTAGCTGGGAGGGATGACAGAGACCCTGCACTGTAGAGGAGGTAGTTTGGGTGTGTTCTGAGTGCAAGGGGCGCCAGTGCCAAGCTCTGAGCAGGAGTGACGTGGTCTGACCTGCCTTTTAACAGGGCCACTTCTGACTGCAGAGAAAAGAGATTGGGGCTTCAGGGAGGAGGTGAATGTAGGAATCCAGGTTCAGGCAGGTGAGGTCATTTGCCCTAAGTCAAACAGCACTAAGTGAATTTAAACCATTTGCATTCTTAAAAATGGCTTGCTACTGTCTACAGTACAAAGAAAATTATCCAAAATCTGGAGTAAAAGGTTTCCCTGGCTACCATTTAATGGGCATATATCACATACCACGTGTCAGGGACTGAACCCTCACAACCACCAAGTTTTATGCACATTTTAAAGAAGAGGAAACTGAGGGTCCCGGGTGAAATGCTATGTCCAAGGTCACATAGCTCAAAAAAAGCAGATAGGGTTAGAGCTCAAGTCAAGGACTACAAAACCATGGCCTCAATGGCATTCAGTGGGTCCTCTGCAGCCCTAGCTTTCCCTCTGCACCAGAGTGAGTTCTTGCTGGCTTCCTGGGGAAAAGGCCTGCGGGAAGCAGTTCCCCTGGGCCTCCACCTGAGGACTTACCATGCCATTTGCTGGAATGGCCAGCAGATGGCGCAAGAGCCCCGTGGGCCTTCTGGAAACCTGGGGGCTTTGGAAGGATGGTCACTTGAGCGACATCCTGCTTCGTGAGGCGCCTCTGAGCACAGCATCTGTGCTCAGAGCAGGCTCAGGCCGAGAGTTGGGGTCCTGGCTTTCCCCACAGCTCTGCAACCAGCTAACTCCAGGGGAGGCTCTGTGCAGGTGCAGTGTGCCTTGCTTTCCCCTCGGGTGAACAGAGAGGAGTAGCTGGCCAGGCTTTGCACGCCGCAGCGTCCCCTCTGCATCTTCTCCCTCCTCGCTGAGCAATGCAGCAAAGGGCTAACATCATGTCTGCTTGTGCTTGAAACAGACTGAAAGATTCCGGGGACAAGCCAGGGAGGGCGGTGTCCCGGCCGGAGGACGTGCAGCTCATAGGCCGCCTGCAGACCCTCTTGAAGGAGAGAGAGGAGATCATCAAGCAGCTCACGGTGAGGTGGTCCAGGCAGCAGGCAGAATCCTTGGGAGGGGCGTTCACCTTGCACCTGGAGAAAGTTTAACCCTGATGACCATAGAACTCCGTAGGAAAGATCCCTGGGATGTTTTCTGTTAAATCCAAAACAAAAACAAAAACCATGCTAAAAATATTTAACACAGGAAAATAGAAGGCTGAAAAGTCACACTCCCAACCCTGCAGCGTTTGCCCCCTGTTGCTGAAGGTGGTTATTGTTGTTATTATTTTGAAATTTGGGAAAATCCAGTTACTTGCCTGGTGTTTGAATTTAGGAAAATCAACCAAACCTATTATTTTTTACTCATCTTCCTTCTGTCAAAATGACCAGTTTTCCAGTTAGCAAAGCCACCTTCGAGTTCCCCAAAGAGAAAAGGTCTCACTCTCTGATTCTGTATCCGGCAGATTCCAATGTCCAGGGGTCCTGCCCAGGGGTCCTGTCCTGGGAAGGTGCCTCGCCCTATCAGTTCTGTCATTCCCACAGCCCGCTGCACCCTCATCTCACGGCTGCCTCCAACCTCAGTCTTTGCTTTAGACTCAAATGCAGCCTCCTTGTCTCCCCATCTTTTTACTCTTTCAGTGAGGGGCGGGCTCACTTGCTGAGGGGGCTGTTGTCACTGTGGTCATGGGGGTGGGGAGGTTGTTTTTTTAAAAGAATCATCTCTTTGAGATGGATATCAGTGCTTTTACAACAAAATTATAGGATAACTGGACTTTGCTTACCAGTATGTCAGGAGAGAAAACTGGAGAATGGCACATGCAATGAAGGTGCCAAGTAGCCAGGCCCTGGGGTTTGGGCTTTGCCCTTAACTTGAACAAAGACTCCTGGAGGCTCCTCTCTGATGCTGAGAGGACCTGGCTCTCTAACTTCTGAGTCGTTCCAAATAAGCCGGCCCCTTCCTTTTCCAGAGGACAGTAGGTGCCCCCATCGTCAGCGTGGGGGGAGCCTGATTCCCATGATCACGCACATTCCTGGGCCTCCCTCCGGCCTCTCCCTCCAGCCCGGGGCCATGAGCTCAGAGGCTTGTCTGGCTTTCTCAGGAGGAGAGGAGACTTCACTGTGCAGCCTTCCCCGGCGCCGTGTCCCACCGGAATCGCTCCTTCTCTTTCAATCCTCACCCGGGGTACCTGACCCCCTCCATGAAGGTAACCGTTCTGCTGGCTTCCCGCGCCTCCCTGCCCTGTTTTCCCACCAGGAGCTGCCGCAGCGGCGGGGCTTGGGCTGGTGTAAATTCCGAGGGGTGCCTGTTGGAAAGTCTGGGCCACAGAAATCACCGCAAGTATCGAACAGTGTTTCTATCTGACTAAGTGAACTATGTGTATTTTATTTTTTTTTGGGGGGGGGGTTTGTATTCCCAAATTTTCCATCAATAAGGGTGTCACTGTGAGTAACAGCTGGGGGGTGGGGAGGAGAGGGGCAAGAGCAGAAACCTCCCATTTCTTAACTTTATTTCCTTACTTATTTTTGGGATTTGTTATGGCTTGCATCCACATCTCTCATCTGCTAGCGCAAAATCCTACAAATGCTACAAGAAATTAGTACTTTTTTACACCTAACCTGACCTGGGCTGATGTGAGTTTTTCATGTGTAGCTTTTATATCTCCCTCTTACTGTGACAAAGTGCTTCATTCCAGAAATAGTAACGTATTTGAGGACAAGCCGACTCAGCTGGGATATTGTAACACCTTCTAAAATCTAAAAAAAAAAAAATTGAATTTACAAAGAAACCTCTGTCTCCACAAGTGTTTCGTTAGCAATTGGGAGCCTGTGCATTTTTCAGAAACGCAAAATAAATGAGAGGAACGCATGCTTTTACCAGCACTATGTCAATCGTTTTATTTATTTTATGAATAAAATTGCCCCCTCTCCCGGTCAGTTTTGGTTGGGAGGCCTCACTTGCTTTTTTTCTTTTCTGGTAAGAGTATGTTCTGTTATATAAGAAATTGTCCAAATGCCCTCCAAAGTGGCTCCACCATTTTGTGTCCCCACCAGCGGTGACTGAGCTCCTGTTGCTCCTCCTCTCGAGTTATTTGGGGTGTCAGCGTTTGGGGTTTGGCACTTGAATAGGTGTGTGGTGGTGTCTTGTTATGTTAACTTACATTTCCCTAATGACGTGATGTGGGGAATCTTTCCATGAGGCTGTTTGCCATCTGTAGCTCCCCTTGGTGAGATGTCTGTTCGGGTCTTTTGTCCAATTCTACTTTTTATTTATCTTTTTACTGTATGAATGCTTTGATGTTTCTATATATTGTCTCCAATCTCTTATAGCTTGTTAACTTATCTTTTACATCTCCTAAGGTGAAATGCCTGGTTGCATCTTTCTAGGAATTGAGGGAGCAATACCCATCTTACCCACTTCACAGGGTTGATGCAAGACTCAAGCTGTAGCCCTCTGAACATCTTTAGTGCTGGGCACATGCACACATACACATACACACGCGCCTGCGCACATGCACGCGCGCACACGCACACACCCCACTCACCAAGTCCCACCTCTAGAGTGATTCTGGAATGCTCTTTTCTGCCTGCACTTTCCTTAGCCTGAGTCTTGCAGTAATGCCTCTGTGGAGTGGCATTCACAGGCCTTTCTTGTATAACGCACAGAAAAAGAAGATGGAGGAGGTGCCCAGCCGGGTGGTGAGTGTGCCAAACCTGGCCTCCTATGCCAAGAACTTCCTGAGCGGTGACCTGAGCACAAGGATCAACGCTCCCCCCATAACCAAGTCACCCAGCCTGGACCCAGGCCCCAGCTGTGGCCGGCCGTACAAGCCCAGCCAGTCTCTCGATGTGAGAGCTGCCACAAGGTAGGGGCAGAAGCTGGGCTTCCTTTCCCCATATACTGGAGGGAAATTCAGATTTCATCTTGGCTTTTGTGCAGATACAAGAAGTTTCAACACAAGCCCTGCCTTGGACAAATTACAGTCTGTTTGAAAGGGAAGATTGTGTAAGAGAGGGAAATATGCCTTCTTTGAGAGAGGTATTCTTTCTGACACCCAATTATAGAAAGTCTTTTTTCCAGGGTGATGAGACCAGGGCCTCTTAGTGGACCACGTCAGTGTGGGTCACAGATGGACTCTCAGTACCTGTGACAGCCTGGGGTCTGGATTTAAATCCGCCTCCTTAGCTGTGTGACGTTGGGCAGCTCACGTGACCTCTCTGAGTCTGTTTCCTCACCTTTAAAATGAAAATAAGAGCCTCCCTGGTGGCACAGGGATTAAAGTCTCAGTACTGTCAAGCTATCCCCAGGCACTGTGGCATGAGTTTGATGCCCAGCCAGGGAGCTGACCCACATGGCTCAGCAGACCTCTCCTGTCTCCCTACTGCTCCTCTCAGCAGCGTATTTCAGCAGATCCGCCTGTACTGCTCCCTACTCTGTCTCTGGTGAGTCCTCTCCCCACCCCCATACCTCTGGCCTACACCCCAGTTCTTGTATGCATAAATAAGTAAAAAAAAAAAAATCTTTAAAAAATAATGAAATCAAATGAAGATAAAACACCACCTACCTCATCAGACTGAAACTAAAGAAATTAACTAATGGGATTTGATTAGCACGGGACCTAGCACAGCAGGGTTAGCATACTTCCACCAGCAAGGTCATTGCTATGGTTTATCATATCATCGCGGGATTGTCAGGCCTTTTACCCTGTGGGTCTGGTGGATCATGCGTGTGGTGAACTAAACCACCATATTTCTTCCAAAACCATCTCTGCACTCTTGTCTTCCAGAAGCATGTGCTTGTCCTCTGTTCATGCTCTCTCCTATCTAGTCTTCCTTGCAGAGCAGATTTTCAACTCTGGGCTGTGAGGTTTGCGTTTCAGAAAGGGTCTCTTTGAAAATGTTCCTTTTCCAATGGCCCCGCCTGCCCATGGTCACAGTGGGGATAGGTGGAGGGATGCAGGCCTTCCCAAGTGGAGTGGATGGGCCCTTTGCTTTACAGCTATGGAAACGGAGGCTTCGACCCCCCATGCACCTCCTCTGTTAACCAGCAAAGCCTCATTATTCCACATACCTGTTGAAAGCCGTGTCCCACCATTTCCTAGAAAGTTTCACAAATATAGAGACCACTCAGCCAGGCGTCTGCCATATGTTGTCGCCGTTTCTTCTTCTCAGCCTATCAGGCGAATGTCACAGCCTCAAGGAGAAGCTCAGTCAACTCAGATAATGTTTGAAGAAGCAAAAATCCCCATGCTGAGCTGCTGAACCATGCAATTCTTTTAGAGTTTATTGTTTAACTTGCACCTGAAACAAATAGTAAATGTTGCAAAATATGCCTTCCTCACTGGTCTTCCATGAAACAGTGGGTACCTTGTTTTCAAAACTGGAATTGGAAGTTCCCTCCAACCCCCACCCTTCATAGCAGGCGCACACTCAGGTCTCCTGAAGAGTAAAGGAGCCATTTTCTTTCCATGAAGAGATGGTTGTGTTTTGAGTTGTTTATGGAATGGTTTTCAAAACCATTTAAGAAATCTGCTTGTTTGCTTTTAGGCCACAAGATGGTGAAACAGCCCAATCTAAAGAAGGCCAGCAGAAACAGGGCTCGGCCCCTCAGGAGTGGTTCACCAAGTACTTTTCCTTCTAAACTCAACCTTGGGATACTTGTCCAAGAGGACATTTGAAGGAAATTTCTTCGAAAGCATCTGATTGAGGGAATGGACATAAAACACCAATCAACCAAATAACTTGCTTGTAGTGTGATTCATATGTGATGGCTAAAACAAGTTTCTGGTGCTAACATTTCATACTCTTTCATCGTGACAGAGTTCCTTAAGGAAAATTCTTGACATTAAGATAAGCCAGTGTTACCTGAAAGCACCCATGGGGAAGTGGTCATGTCACTGGGGGCCGATGCATTGTATTTCTAGTGTCTGTAAGGCTGTGTCCACTTTGTGAGATACCAGACTATGACTTCTTGGTCTTCCTTTAAAAGTGGTTTCATGTTTCCTTAGGATAATCATCTCCACTTGAAAAGTTGTTTCTGTGTAAATGATATAATTCCAAAATGTACATCTAACCTCAATAGGAAGATGAAAACAAAGTTCAAAGTAACCAGGAAAGGTTCGGTTCTGTTAATAACCGAGCCCTGCCCTGTCAAACATCTCAATTTCAGTGACTAGTTCAACTCGCTCAGCTGTGAAGGCTTCTAGACTAGCTGTTCTTTGGAGTCAAAGATCTACTAAACCTCTTACTCTGGGTGTGGACTGTTTCCTCTGTGTGGCATGGCCCAGTACGTCCTATAGACGCGCAGCAGGTGGCCGGAGCTGGAGATGCTGGAGGTGCTGGCTGCTGTCAGCTCACACCTGCCTGGCCGAGTGGCAGGCCCTGTGCTATTAAGACTCAATACAACTTTATCGGGCAAAATGTGTTCTCAATCCTTTGGTGCTGGCCCGGCAGGTGGCCCCTAAACAGTTTATTCTATGCACTGTCAAATCTCTGCTCTTTGAATAAAACCTCAAACAACTGGGCAATAAAGATGATCGTGACTTGTATTATTTTTCCATAGAAAGGTGAAATGAGTTGAAGACAGATCTTGGAATGAAAGTTCACATGAACTTCAATCATCTCATCTTCAAATAAAAAGTAGCTGTTTAAGACTTACATCACTCAAGAGAAATGCAGTCACAACTCAAGCTCACAATTTAAAGGTAAATTTACTGTTCAATCAAAACACGTGGCCTGAATAATTTTTTAAATGGAAATACTATCAGACACCTCACATGCCATAGTATTTTTCAACAGCAAATATTTTTGTAGTTGTCTCTTTTCAGGCCTAGGGGAGCTTTGCAGGATTGTTTTTAATAAGGTTATAAATCAGTAATTCTGCTTTTGTTCACTGAAACATCTCCCCCACACTGCAGCTCGCGATGACTAGCTATTTGAGGATTTGGTGGGCAGTGGGTTGCTTTCGAGGGTCTAAGAAAGTAGAGCTTCACTCAAGATGGACACACGCTAAAAGTGGGGCCAATTCTGAGCTGGAGTGGGGGGTCCTCAATAAATGTCGCCTAGGAGGTGGGCAGTCTAGAGGGAGAATGAAGTGGTGCCGGCCAACAGAAGGATGTGTAGTATTTGGGGGTGGCACAGTACTTTTTTCTGTGCTTAGAATTATGAAATGGTTTCACTTTGTCTTACTTTGCCATGGCTTCGGAGCACCTTTGTCCAAGGTTGGTATTTTGGGACTGTGCATTCAGCAGAATGACCTGGCTGGATGTCAGTGGCAGGTCTCCCCTCCCACTCGGGGGGAAACAGCTGTGTGACATAAATGGGCGAGGGGGCAAGAGTGCGGAGGCACGCTCAGACTACTGTGCAGGGCCATGGCTGCGAGGAGGCCAGGGCAGATCTGGGAAACAGGCTGAGACGAGATACTTGGAGAGTCTCAAGGCAGCAGACAGGAGCTCCGGGGCAGACTGCCCACTAGGCGACCCTGAGCTCCGCAGAAGTGGCCCCCCACATCCCACTGTGCAGTCACTTAGGAGGCCTCCATGGGAGCTGCTGTGTGGGAAGGTGGGAGCTTTGGGCCCTGCGCTCCTCACAGTGGTGCTCTGGAAGGGAGTCCCCTCCAGACACACAGACCCAAACCTGCAGGAATGTCAAGCTGGAGGTGGGCGAGAAGAAAAGGAAGGGAGCTGTATGGAGAGTAAGTTCAAGTAATGATGTGTCTTTTCCCTTTGGCCACAGCGCTGGGCTGAGTCACAGACTCAGGGTGGGCGGAGGGACAGACGGAGGGTGGAATGGCGCAGCTCCAGAGTGAATGTGGAGCAGGGCAGCGTCACAGCCCCAGCGCCGAGGGCCAGGCTGGATGTGGGAGATGAACTCCTGTGAGCTGCCGGGAATGAGCCTCTAGATAGATGGGTGATGGGGGGGGGGGGAGGGTGAAGTGACCCAAGGGGGTGTGAGTCCTAGAGGTGACCGTGCTGGACCCAGGACACTTGTGGAAAGCTCATGCTACCAGGGTAGGCACTTCAGCAGCTGAGCAGAAGGAAAAAAGCTGTCTGGCGGGTGCGGGGGCTTAGCACACCAGGAGTGGGAAGATCCTGGGGACCCAGCGGGTGGCCTCTCATTTTCTCAGTAAAGGTCCTGAGATGGCAGCTCAATGTTTTCTATGTTCATCAACCAGCGAGATGTCATTAAAAGGAAAAAGATTCTAACAGACAAGGTTGAAAAACTGCTATTTATTTGACAGAAAACTTGTGATTTTAATAAAGATATAGCAATAAATGACAAAGGCATTGATTCAAAATACTTTCACGAAGCACCAAATAGAGTAGTTCTGTCTTTTCACCAAGAAGCCCTTTATTAAAGACTGCCTGAAACTTAATCAGTTTTGGCTTTTAATCAAGAAATCTGAAGCTTCCTATCAAAGTTTCTAATTATCACATTATGATAACCAGGTTAACAACCCTGAAGTCATATAATTTGAATAAAAACAATTTTTAAGTTTGCTTAACCTGTACATGCTGACTATGGCGATTTGCTGCCCTCACGCTATGTACATACACAAATAGAAACGAGTGCTAAGTGTCCCACAGAAAAGGGTGCGGCCCCCATATCTGCAGTGGGGAATATTGCCTAATTCTCACGAGGGGCACACAGGCAGGGAGAACCAAGCAGGGTTGTAGAAGGGACAGGAAGTCTCAGTCCCGTGTTTTGGGGCTTGGCAGAGAGGGCACTGGAGGCTCAGGGAGCAGGCAGCACCCCTGCCATTCAGGAACATGAGAGGACATCAGTGTGTGTGTGAGGGGCCTTCGGGGCTGAAGACAAAGCGCGACACAGCAGTGCTGCCTGTCAGAAGACACGGGGGTGATGGCAGTGGGTACGGGGTATAATCTAAGAGACTAAGCAACAGGAAAAGGGAAACCCCAACTGGGGTGAGCCAGACACAAGAACGGCCTGTGTTTCCTGACAGAAGCTCAGGAAGAACCCATTGGCCTGCAGAGCCAACAGGCGAGTAAAATGCCCCCCCAACAAGCACTGTGTAGAGGTAAGTCACTGAGGGTCACCCTAAAGCCCACCCCCTGGATCAACACCAGCCAACAATAAGAACCTTCCCCGTGGAAAGTTCTGATCCCAAAAAAGCAAAATGAAAATGACAGAAGCAAACTCAGCAAGATCTGACCCCTTACTCTGCACCCCACGTCATGCTGTGAGAGCACTGTCTGCCTGTTACGTAAAAGGATTCATTACTGAAGAACGTGCCAAAATCCAGCCACTCCCACTACACTTGCCTCCCCCCGCAACAAAATAAATAAAACTTGTCCCAAAGTAAATAAACTTCCCCTAAACACAAATAAGCACCAACTCTTTAAGGATACTGCTGCACTATTCTACACTATTCTAATCCTCTTCTGACATATTTACAAGAGGTCCTCATTCGGAGAGCTCTGGAAGCACTACAAACACTGCTGCATTAGATTCCTCCTCTTGAGGTAGTTCAAAGTTCTGAAACAGCAAATTTATGTCTTTCCCCTATACCGAGGGACGCCATGAAAGGCCTTCAGCCACCATCCTCCGATTCTCTGATCAGATCAAACAAATTGTTTTCTCAGATCATACAACCGAATATAACAACTGGAAACACAAACAGAAATTAAAAGTCATACAAAAATTAAAAAAACTTAAAAGCAAACAAATCAAAATGCATAAAAAAGGAATTCCTAAGCACAACGCATGGAGTCTCAACTTTGCCAAAGATAAAAAAAGTACATGGTTTTACCGAAGCTACTACAGGAATCTTATAAAGTTCTCTAAAGATAACAGCTTATAAAAATAGGGGGAAAATTTCAGGGGAGCGTAAATCTAACACCCTCTGGCTAGGCTGCGCTCTCCCACAGGCCACGTCCACCAGAGGCGGGAGCAGCGGCAGGGCTGGCTCCTTGGCCGACTCTACAGGCCGGGGCCCCTCAGGACTCAGGTCTGCTTCATGGGCGCAGGGATGTTAGCAGACGCCTGCTCCAGGTAGGCCAGGGAGCCCTGTGGGATTTCCGTGGGCTTTTTGTGCTGCACGCTGAGGTCCTCCAGCACCTGCTGCCAGTGCCTCAGCTTCGTCAGGTGCTTCTGAACCAGCGCGTCCTTCCGCTGTAATTCATTCCTTAGCTCTGACACGTCCTAAAGATGGAAGCGATAGAGTCAGGGCAAACTCATGAAAAGAGAATACAGTTCCTGATTAGCTGTGAGCAGTAAGAAGCAAATGCAAAGCAGACTCAATTATAACCTCCCAGAGCCCTGTTCTCTGCTGGGCGCCACAATTCAAATAACCCAAATCAACTCTTCCAGAGGAAGGTGCCCTGACTGGGCTTCTATTTTTAATGACTTTTCTTTCATTAAGTAACACAAATTACAAAATGCAAAAGGGCCAAAGAGCAGCCAACAGGAAATGAGTCCCATTCCCACACCCCAGGGGCGGCTAAGACTCTACAACAGCGAGAATCTGGAATGTTAAGTCAATAGCCGTTTAAAAGAATCCACTACTACTATTACTTCAGATTTTGAGGAGTTAAAATCTCATCCTCAGGAGCCGTTTCACAAAAACCAGCATTAACATTCTTTATTAGAAGCTGGCTTTGAACACACCTATGTCGCTCAAGTATTTCTAATCAGGCCTGGAGTGACAGGATGACCTGGAAGAGCACCGTGTTCTTACCATTCTCGGCAGCTGGTATCAGTGAATAAAGAATATCTCTGATTAACGTATCAGTCTCCGGGGGTTGTCACTTCAGCAACTACCAGAAAACTGGCTCAGCGCAGTATTTCTCACAGAGTGTCACTTCCTTTCCCTCCTTCACAGGGAGGGGCAGGCCCTGCCCACCATGAAGCACCATTAAAACCTGGCAAACTCTCACCCTCCCAAACAACTCAGTCAACGAAATCCTGAGTAGAGTTTCATAGAGTCTGGGACAGCACATTTACTTTGATTCCTTGATAAATCTGACAGCGTGCTTCCCGGGCGTAAGGCACTGGCGACGGTTTCAGTTTAAACTTGCCTCCTCATCTCCATCGATGCCCTTCCAGCCTTTTCAAGCAGTAAGACTTTTAAATGAAAATCTCCCACAAAAGGCAGTGGATGAAACAAGTCGAGCAGAGCCGCGGTGGTGAAACCCTGCTTCCAACATTAACGCCCGAGCCGTAAACCCCGCCAGAACTACGGGGGAGGGGTGTCTCATTTAAAGCAGAGATGGAAACCTACAACATTTGCTCTTCCTGAAAGATGAGGAGGAAACCAAGTCCGTACCTCTTTGATAACTTGCTCTGGTTTTTGGACAGATAACTGCAATCTTTTTTGTAGGAAAAAACATTCTGTCTGTCGTGCAATATCCAGAAATTTCTGGATACACTGGTCAACACCTACCCAAAAAAAAAAAAAAAAAAAAATCAGATTGTTAGATTAAGAAAAACACTGCACACATCTAGCCCCTTGTAGGTGAACAGACCACATTTCCAAACAGCACTGTCGCGCACACACACCCCAGGCTTTGAATTCTGGGCCAAGCAATACTGACCCCCAACATCAGGTGTTGCCAACATTAAAAAGGAGTTCATTCACGTGTTTACCACATGAATGAGATACAAAAGCTCCAATACAACCCAGAGGCCAGGAGTCCTCCTGAAGACAACACAGAGGGCCAGAGGTTAGCATCGTGACACAGGGCATTTAAAATATGGGACAAAGCGATGAGACGCACTCATGATATCTGGAAAGAGAACTTGAGAGAAAAGGGGGGAACACAAAGACTTTTTTGTAATACTGTTCAAAAATTACTAAAAACTTACTTTGTTTTTTAAAACCAGTCTTCTTTGGAGCCATAGGAAAAACTATGAAGTGGTGGGTTCTGAGTGACCCAAGATGTCAATACATGGAACAAAGAACTGGAAGTACACAGAGATGATCTACATAAATCTCATGCCCCCAATGTTCTCTTGGATATAAGCAGGAATTAATTACATCTAGTATAAAATCACTCCTCAGGAACCTTGCGAATACAAGGACACTGTCTAAAAAAAGGAATTCTTACCAGTTCGAATTTCTTCCTGATCCGTGCCATTGACATAGTCCTGACTCACCAGAGAGGCAAAGCAAGCCTGTGTGATCAAAACATCACAAAAGGAAAAAAAAGTCATTCACAAGTCAACCCTTACTTCAGACTAAAGTAGTATCTTCAAGACACTCAATGAGTTGATAACAACTAGGTTTGCCCCTGAGATGTCATCATGCCAATGAACAAGCATGGTATGCCGGGTCTATAGGCCCCCGAAAGGAGAGCCAGCACCCCCACTGGCCGCTCTCCTACCACTTGCTTCCTTTCTACATGGGGCTGGGTCCCTGTTCCACTCGCCCCCTGTGATGCTCAAATGCCAATCATCACCCATTCAGGACTCAGGCATCCCCTTAGAGGCCATCCCCATCTACCTTTTTCATCATAGCACCCCTCCTGCTCTCTCTCCACCCCAACCCCAGGTTTAATGTTTTTCAGATGGCTAACTGACATCATTCCATTCGGTCAGTCCCTTATCCACTGGCCCCTACTAGCAGGTGGGGATTTTTGCCCTTATTGTTCACTGTACCCTAGTGTAGGAATATGCTTGGCACAAAGCAGGCACTCAATAAATACATGTTAGTGACTGGACAAGGCACAGGCAGGTCTAAAAGAAAGCTCCAGACACATAAGCCAATGTGTCAGGGAGTTCTCGGTACCTGCAACTTTCAGGAAATGCACAGACCAATGGCTGGGCAGTGGGGCCAGAAAAAAACCAAGTGGTGGCTGGGAGAACTGGGGTTGGATCTTAAGCTCCTGTGGCCAGAGTGAGAGGAGATGGGCCTGAGGCAGAGACCTGAACAGCAGGGCTGGGAGTAAACAGCATGGACTCATCCCAAGAGCCACAGGCCAGGACTTGTACCCACCGGCCTTCAGCAAGCACTCAAGCCTGAGAGCCACCTCCCTGCAAGCGGGAGGCCACCACCCTCATGCTTACCCACACCTTCCCTTTATGGTTTAAGCACCACCCCAAAGTCTCCCAGATACAACAGATTTCTCTGTCTTTTAAATCAGTTATCTCCAAACTTCTGAACGCACATTCCATCACTAGAAGTATTTCTGCAGCCTCAGTAACACATCCATTTACAAACCACATTCAGGTGCCACTCCCCGATTATATATAGTGTAAAACTTCTACGGCTAGGATTTAAAAAGTGGAAAAGATAACTCCAATTTTCGGTTAGAGACCACAGCAAGTCCACGCAGCAGTTATTTTTACCTCGCTTTTGTCTACTACCGCTCCCCATCTTCCTTCCACAGGGTAACTCCGTGGGCAGAACTCAGGAACTTGGGTCCTCCCTGCCTCCCGGGTCCCCAGTTTCCCCCTTCCTCAGCACCTACCACCTACAACTTTGAAATGTCCATTTCAACCCCAAGAATCCTACTACTTTAGGGCCGCTTAAGGGGACGCTCAGCGGAAAGGATTCGGGAAGAGGACACAGTGCCAGACACACGTGGGTGCGGGGCAGGGTGCCCAGGGGTGGCAGGGTGCCCTGGGGCCCGGGACAGCGGGCGGGGCAACAGGTGGGGGGGTATAACCGAGGGGCCAGAGATCGAGGCCAGGTGACTCCAGAAACATCAAGTTTACGCGTCTCCGGTAACTGACCCGCGTAGACTACCGGCCTCCCCCGTTTGCTGCAGAAACTAAAGCAAATGCTTTCTGTCCGATTAGCCCGACCGCCCCGCCCCGGGCAGCAGAGCGGAGCGCGAGCATCTCGGCCGGAGACAAACTGAGCATGCGCAGCCTGCGCTGCCGGAAGGCGGCCACCCCTCCCGTCTCATCTTACCTCGAAAGAGGACTCTAATTCGTCCACCAAGGTACTATTTGAAGTTCTCGGGACGCCTGGCGTGGCGTGAAGAAGGGAAGCCTGGCCCGGAAGTCCCGGCGGGGGCTGCGGAGGTCCCGGCGGCTGCCCCGAGAACATCCCGCCCAGCGGAGCCGCCATGACAGAAATGGCGCCCGAAGCGGCTCACTGCGCCTGCGCGGGTGGGGGGGGCGCGGCTGGCGCCTCGTCTCACGTGACTGAGCCGGTCACGTGACGCGCGGGCGCCGCGGAAACCGGGGGGCTTCTGCCTCAGTTTCCCGCTCTCCTGGCGCGCCGACGTCCAGGCTTTCCGGGCTGTTTTTCTTGAGAACGGAAGCTTTTGACCCAATTCGGTACAGTTGTGTGGAAGGGGAACCGGTAACCGCGGCGGAGCCGCTCTCGGGAGGCGGGACGCCCTGGGCTTCCCCTAAGCGTTTGGGGTGAACGTGGCCGAGACGCCTTCTCCGGGCTCGGTTGACGGCTCGTGGAGGGGGACACCCGTTTATTCCAGACGTTTAAGGGCTGACGGGGGCAGGTACGTGGAGAGAGCGGGCACACGCGGGCGGGGTTCACCCTGCATTCTCTGGGGAGACGTAAGTGCCAAAAACAACCAGCACAGCGGTGCGGGCTGGCATGCGGCTCCGCCACAGAGGAACTCGCGCCGCTCGTCTTAATAACTTGCTCTGCCGCTGCCTGTTTTTCTTTTCAGAAGCTAAATGCGCTTGTTCATTGTATTTAAGTTCACAGCTGTCAACCAGCATGAATTGAGCCCCCCTCCCCCCATGGCACAGGTGCTGTGTGATGATCTGGGGTTTATAGCCAACGCCATCTCTGCCCTCTTGGGGTTTTCTGTTGTTTTTATGGGAGAAAGACAGACACATAAATATGTATAACATCATGTAGCATCAGTGCTAGGGAGGAAAATGAAGACGGGTAGGAGAGGACTCGTGATGGACTTGGTAAAGGACAATCCCAAGAGATAAGGACAGGAGTGATGAGTGAAAACTGGGGAGACTTTCAACATAGAGGAGCCCCGAAGAAGAAAAAAACAGCCAGATCATTTGGGCCAGAATCAGTGAAGCAGGGCCTTTCTGTTGCCAGCCAGCTCTCAGATCCAAGGTGATCTTCCCAGCCTCCGTCTAAATTAGACCCACACTCCCAGGCATTTCAACCCCTTTTGGTTTTTTTTCCGCATAGTATTTACATATCTGCAGTTACTTTATTCCTTTGTTCTTTTCTTCATTGACTAAATGGCCTTATACATACGCCCTCTCATGTACCAGCTGAAATGCAAGCTCCGTGGTATCAGGACCTTCCCCTTCTCCTGTATTCCCAGCACTGTGCTTGGCATAAAATAGACCTAATAAATATTTGTTGATTGAATGAACAAAAATAGAATGTGAGGAGGGAAGGAACTCTATTCCAGCACTCTTCAAACTTGTTTGAGACTCAAGCAACTTTACACTCATAAAATGTTATGGAAAAAATCCAAATATTTTTGTTTTATGTGGGTTATGTTTGCGAAGTCTTACCCCTTAAAACGGAGTAGGTAAAATACTTACCTAAGTTAAAATGGAGAATTAGCTTAAAAATAATAAACCCAGTACATTACATATTTTAAGATATAAATGTTTCACAAAGTCAAAAATAAATTGTAAGAGTGCCATCTTTTTTGCAAATCCCTTTAATATCTGGATGATTATAAGACTGTTTCTCACGCCTACCCAACTACAAGTAAGTTGCCTGAGAACATGTCAGTAGCATATCCTGGATTCAATTCAGAATAGAGTACAGATAAGCTTTTGGATTTGCTGAAAACACATTTCCTCATTTACAAAAGAACACTGCTCAGAAAGATCAGTAATGACATAATGTATTATAGAGACTAATAGAGTGCCTGGCACAGAATGGGTGATGTGGAGAAAAAAACGGGAGTAACATGATATAATTTGTTTAAAAATGATTTCTCTACTGGTAAAGATAACGAGTCACCCAAGTAGAAGCAGCACCAGTAAGGCAGTAACTGAGTACATAAGGAGGGCGATCTTTTTGTAGTTTGGCACTGAAGAAGGGGACAGAGGTGGTGAAATGTGGTTGGATAAACCCCATCATTTACTTAGGAAAAAAGTCAACTGCTTGGGAATGTGTAGTGGCAACGGTTCTGACTTTTCTGAAGCAAGAGTTTGGGCTAACATTTCTATAGGATTGTGATAAAAGGGAAGAGCTTACAGTTCAAGGGCAGTGAAGCTGCGGCAGGCCAGGGGGCCAGCCATACAGTGTGGTGGGCTGCAGAGAAAGCGCCCCAAGGCAGTGATCAGGCCAGTGTTGTTTACAGGACAAAGCAGCAAGTGATAAGGGACCACTCAACCCTAGAGTGTAAATTCTTTAAGGCCAGGAGCTACGTCTTGTTTGCTTTGCTATTACAACCACTTCCTACAATGCCTGCCTCAGGCTTGGCCAGAAATAACTGTTTGCTGAATCAATAAATCCTTTACTCCCAATACTAACATTTCCCCTTTCTGTGAGCTTGCAGGCCATAAGGGCCTTTTCTGGACTTACTCCACTGCCATTTTAAAATCTCTAACTGCCGAACATTCCCAAGACTTCCTCTAGTTCATTTTCCATTCCAGTGTCTCCTTTCTCAGCCGCTCATTCAGTATTGACTCTCACCCGTGGTTTGGGTTCTGTGCTGTGAGCAGAGATATAGATGAGAGATGTGGTTCCTGCCCTCTTGCACAAGCAAAAGCTTATTTAAACAGTGGTTTCTTGTGCCCAAGGTGATGTGTGGGGTTGCAGAAGTTGGGAAGTTGGGTTTTGCAGATTATTCATCTGGGTTCTGACCGTTGTGCTACCTTCATCAAGTACAATAGCAATTTTTGTCTTTCAGTTTCAGGTTCCTTATCTCTACCGTGTCAGAAACTGTTTCCTGTATCCTGTTCTCTTCTCTCGGGTTGACAGAGGCCCCCAGCTATCTTAATCTGAATTTCCCCAAATCCTTGCAGTAACCATGGCTAACTCTGGCTGATGATATAAACACAAGTGTTAAATGGGGCTTCACTGAATGCTCTCCAAAGCGTGTTAACTGCAGCTGCATTCCTATTGCCCTGCTTTCTTCCCTCACCTTTGTAGATCGCAACCCCACCAGCCACGGTGAGGGAGTCTGGGTTTCTGATGCCGTGAGGCTTCCCTTGGACGTTTTATTGCCCACTTTGGCCACCCTATAACAGTGTTGAGTTCTGAATCACGGCTGCTTTGGATTTGCTTCTCTCCACAGCCAGGCCTATTCCTCGTGGATACAGAGGCAGATGCCACCGTCTGCCTGGGAGCGTGGGCCTGAGGGTCAGCCAAGGGCTTGTGTAGTACCTGGCAGCCAGAGACATGTGCAGTGACACTATCAAATTTCAACCCAATTAGATAAGCCCAAGAGTCCAGGGTTCTGCTGCGCCTTTGTTCCTCACATTCTAGAGAAAACAAGAGTTCTATTCTTTCATCTGTGAAAGGCCTTTGATAGAAAGCCTTCTATCAAATCCCTCCTTGGCCCTCTGAGTTACCCGGAAGAAGCCGAAATGTTTGTATTTTCCTCGCCAGCTGCCAGTTCCACCTGATTCCTTCTTTTCTGAGGAAGTAGCTTCTGAACTACCCAGGAGAACCAGTTTCACTCACTATTCCAGCTGCTTTGTTTTAACCCCAATAAAATGAATATGCATGGCAGTATTTATTTCCTCCCTGTATGCTAGTTTAGACACATATCCTTTTGGGTGTCAAATTATTAAAAACAACCCTAAAAAACAGCTTTTTCTGTCAAGTATTTTCAAAGTCTTAAAAAAGGCACAAAGCCTCTTCAGGGGTAATTTGACTCTCCTGATACAAAAGTAAAATGATAAGAAGAACTTTGTTCTCAATCTGCACAAATGGGATTTTGTTGATTATAGTCCCAGGTGAAGCAAGCAGTGTTTACCCTCTGCCAATCCCTTTTACGGTCTTGTTTCTTCTGTATTTCACATAAATCCCCTATCAAGTCACAGGAGGAAAGAAAACATTAGTGTAACTGAGGAGGCTGGGCTTGGAGGTGAACTGCCTGGGTTACAAGCTCTGCTCCCCACTTACTAGGTGGGGGATGTAGCTGACGTGTCACTAACCCTCTTTGCACCTCATTTTCCTGTAATGTGGGGAATGCTTAGCACATCTGGATATTATGAGATTTCAATCACTGCACTTAGTTTCTGGCAGAGGTGAGTGCACAGGAGTTGCACTGTTACTCAATCATGGAACCCCCAAAGTGATTATTAACACTGAGAAAACACCGGTGTCACCGAACCCTGATTTAATTACTTAGTTCACACAACACAGTCAAAAGAGACATGTTATACTAGTCACTGGATTTACAGTGATATGTAAGTAAATACCAAAGAGCAAGAAAAGTTGGATTTATTGTTTCTGAAATTACATAGTAACTTTGTTTTTCTCATGTTCTTAGCATCACAAACATGAAATAAAATTTTGTTCTTCAATTAAAAACATACTCTGAAAAGTGACTAGGTGGTTTTTTAAAAAATCAGTCATCCCATAGACTATCTTAAAAAGCTTTGCCAAGCAGGATATTAGCTTTACCTTTATAAATCTCTGCATAAAATGAAAAAAAAAAAAATCAAGGAATAAAAATGTCATTTTGTTCTACATTTTAAAATATCACCCTTCTTTGTTTCTTTTAAAAGATTTCATCCATTTAAAACTATTTTGAGGTTCAACTGTCCGATTTAAGACAGAAGGAAGGAATTTTCCAGCAACCGAGCTAAGCACTGTTCTGGCTGAGGCGCATCAGGAACTCCACCAGCGTCCTGGTAGGCCTGCCCGTCATGCCTTTCCGCAGATACGGGACCTCGTCCTTGTTGGTCATCACCCCAGCGATGTCTAAATGCGCCCACTTAGGGTGAGTCACAAATTCCTTCAGGAACGCTGCGGCTGTACATGCTCCTGCAGATCTGAAGAGAAAGGTTAAGCTTATTATTTAGCTGCAGGGAAATGTGCGCCTGACTTAGGAAGATCCCCCCCCATTCCTGCAGAGCAGGCTCTAAAGACCGAGAGCAAAAGTCAAGCTTTTGAGGCCTACTAAGAAGCTACATTGGAAATCATTCTCAGTGTATTTCTTTTCAGACATAGTTAGTTCAATATCACAGTTTTCTCTGTTACTTAAGTGTCATATCATCCATTTCTTTTCCTCACCATTTGCTTAGAACCACCTTAATTTTGAAAACATACAACATCTTGACAACCAGTTGGGAAATACCTTTAAAATTAAATTCATTAGAAATCAGTGCTCATAAGTACAACATCAAAAAGAAAATGGTTAAATCTTTTGTAAGAGGATAAAATTGAAAATGGTCATTTTGGCAACCAAATAGGATTATAAAAAGATGTACTGCTGCACTTACCTATACTTCCCTATGTTATTAACATCAGCAAGCTGGCAGTCTATAACCTGCCTGGTATAATGTTCAAAGAGAGGCATCCTCCAGACGCGGTCCCCTGTTTCAACGCTGGCCTAAAGCAGAAATAGGTACGATAGTTTTGAGATTGAACTAAATTCACAATCATTCACCCAGTGGTTCCTTCACCATCATTTACGGAACTTCTGCTGAGCACCAATGTAGTATCTGGGACCTTGACAGATAGCCTAGGTCCACAGGAAAACACCCACACACAGACTTTGTTTTTATACACCAGTCAAAGGTAACACCCAAAGTGAAAAGACCAGGAAGGAGCAGCAAAAGCAGCTGTTTTGAAACATGAGTAAACAGCAGGAGAATCAGCTGCGGCTGAAAGTGGATACCTGAAAGTGGACACTGAAGACTGGTTACTTAACTAATGCGCAGGCTCACGTCACTTTGACTTTTTTTAATGAGGTTTAAATTAAAATCAGAATGCTGTGGGTGCTCTGATAGAGGGAATGGGGTACGTGGCAGCCCAGCCTGCAGGAGACCATGGGGTCGGGAAGGTGGAGCACTCCCCAACTGTGAGATGTCAGAGGTGAAGGGGAGCAGTTTGGGGGGGGGAAGACGTTTAGGGCCTTAAACCATCGGTCTGCCTGGAGGCGGCCGCTTTCAGCCTCAGAAAATTCAAAGCACCCCGAATTGAGTTTACTGCATTTTCATTCAAAGACAAATCTATAACAACGTAAAAATCACATCAACACAGAAGTTAAAGAAATTCACTGTTCCAAGGCTAGAATGATGTAATCATCAATTCTTTGTGATTTGGGTCCTAGATATTATTCCTACCTCAAAGAGTTTTTCCCACAGCCAGGGTGAATTGGTGAAGACCCCGGTGGCAGCAGACCCCAAAGCTATGTCCATGGCACCTGCAAGACACAATCCCTCAGGTAAGGGTCAGGCTCTTCCGGCAGGCAGGCGAGTGGGCTGGTTCTCTGCCGCTTGCGGTGAAACTGTAGCTCCTAACCAGATCCTGCGTCTCCCTCATTTTCAAACAGTGATGGGCTGAGGAAATCTTTACTGTATATATTTAATATATTTCTGTGTTTCAAAATGTGAAAGTGGAAACTACCAGATACCTCATTTTTAATAATCTCATTTTTGGTATTTCCTTCCAGAATTTTTCTAATCTTTTTGAAAAAACAGAGAGGCATCAATTTACTAATATTTGTACACTGAAGCTTCTCTAATTTTTTGATATTTTTCATCGCATCTCAAAGTTTACACTGCAAGACTTTGATACCTTTTTTTAAAAAACATGTTCAAGAAATAACAAGTTTTGGTGAGGACGTGAGAAGCCCTTAGATGCTGTGGGAGGAAATGTACATTAGTGTGGTCACCATGGAAAACAATATGGATGTTCCTCAAAAAATTAAAAATAGAACTACCATGTGATTCAGCGATTCCGCTTCTGGATATTTATTAATATTCAGAGGAAACAAAAACACTAACTCAGAAATACACCTGCACCCTGGTGATCACTGTTTACAATAGCCGGGACACAGAAATCACCTAAATGCTCACTGATGGACAAATGGATAAAGTATGGGACACATATGCACACGTGCACACAGACACACCAAAGGAATACTATTCACTCACAAAAAAGGAGATCTTGCCATTTGTGACAACATGGATGAACCTGGAGGATGTTACGCTAGTGAATTAAGATAGACTAAGACAGACAACAATATGACCTTGCTTACAGTTGGGACCTAAAATGAACACGCAAAAACCAAACCAAACTTTTGGAGAAAACAGATTGGTGGATGCCAGATGTGGGGGCTGTGAGGTGGGCAAAATGGGTGAATTGGGGGGGTCAAAAGGTACAGACTCCCAGCTATAACAGAAGCCATGTAAGACGTGGGATGTCATAGATAGCATGAGACTCTACTTAGTAATACTGTGCTGTGTAACTGCTCTCTATAGTTACACGAGAGTAGATCTTAGCAGATCTATCACAAGAAAAGAATAATTTGTAGCTCAGTGTGAGGATTGGATGTCACCTAGACTTAGAGGTCATATATTATTACTGACCGTTGGTCATATGTCTGTATTATTGGTATGTATATATGTATATTATTGGTCATGTATATATTATTTCACAATATATACAAATATGGGAACATTGTATTTACACCTGGAAAAATAAAATGTTAATTATATCTCAGTTTTGAAAGGTCTGTTAAATCATATTTACTTGTTTCATTTTCATTTCCTCCTCCAACAAAGTTGTGTCCCATTGACTAATTTCTCTTTTAAGATGAGTTAACCTATCTTTTAAAATCATGTTAAAAAGCCAGATTTCCAGGTTCTCTAGAGCAGGCCTTCCCAAGGGTCAGCAATTCAGGGGGAGCAGGGTGGCCTGCTCTGGGTGCGGCCTGGCTCCGGCCGTTTCATTTGTTGAGTGCTTGACCCAGCTGAAGGTGCAAGGTCCGGGGCAGGGATCATGTCCAGTTCCTAGAGGTATGCAGTAGGCCCTTGAGCAATATTACTCTAGGGCCTATTTTCATTATAGATCATTTGCTTAAAGTTACAGTATCAAAAAACATCTCGATGATACGGAGTGGTATCACAGTACTACGGCACTCAGATGGAAAACTGGAGGAGGCACCACTCAAATGGAAATTCCGTACTTTTCACAAGGTGACACTTGCGACCTGCCACCCAAGGCTCATAAGCTCATCCCGCATCCTTCCCTGTGGCTTTGCACGAACTGCCTGTTAAAACCCAGAACCTAGTGCAGCACTACAGGCACTCTCTCTGCGGACCTGTGCTTTTAACAGTCCGTGTGCAATTCCCTATCCTTCCATCCAGGGGATTACAGTTAGCCATACAGGGTGGCACCCCATAGAATAACCCCCCACTCTCGCAGGTTTATGGATAAATTCTGCACATCCCTCAGATTTAAGCTTACAGCTGGCACTTCATTTTGTTAATGTCAGTTAATCTCATCGCCACACATGATGTCGCAGTGAGGACTGGCCCTTTCTATCACTTCACAGGAAGAACTTGTAAACAGTTGACAGGTTAGGACAAACGATGATTTCGAACTGGCGACCTGATCCCTGTGTGACGTCTGGACCCCTGGGGGGCTGTACGGGTTATTCGTTCCTTCAGATTTGTGCTCTGATTAGCTCTGAAAACTACGCTCCCTTCCTCCACCACCATCCGCCATCTGGTCTGCGGAATGGTCGTAAACACTCGACTGTGGACTATTTCAAATATACCCAAAAGCAAAGAGAGTAACAGGATGAACGCACATGTACCCCCCTCTACAGAGCCAAGGTTACTAACTGGTGGGCAAATCTGTTTCACTGACACCCCCATACCCAAGGGGTGATGTTGAAGCCAGTTGCAGAGCTTGTCACATGCAGCCTGACACCCACACCCTGACACACCCACAAGACGCGACAACCACCAGCCACGCTGCTGCCAGCCTTCCTGGCCCTTCTCCAGGACATCCAGGCCGGGACCCTTTCAGGGAACAAACACAATCTTATCGCCCGGGCTCACCTTCCCCCACTCTTCAGAAGCTTCCTGCTGCATTTGGCTCAAGACAGAACCCCAGAGAAACATGCCAAGGTCGGCTGGAACCTGGCGCCTGCCACCCTGTCACTCTTGGGAGTCCCTGCCAGGGCCCCAAGTGCCCGTCTCGCTCCTGTCCCCTGCTGCCCCCTCACTGGGGCGCCCCTCACCCCCTCCTTCCAGGGAGGCCACCTGTGCAGACTCAGCTCCAGTGACACTTTTCAGACCCCGCGCCCACAGCCGTGGAATCCTCCACTGTGCAAGCTCTCCGGGGCCCTGAGCCCTGCTGCTCCGCACTGGCCAGTGGCGCCACCTCTGCAGGCCCGGCCCCAGCACTCACTGGGCACTGCCGGATGCCAGGCCCTGGGACCTGTCACTGCTCTGTCCAGGACCCTCATACTTCCCTTTCCAAGTCAGTGGCTTCTTCCTGACTTATCACTTGCCTTCCAGACAGTCCCGTCGGCCCCACCAGAGTCTTGTTTTGGTGTTTATGTGTCGCACAGAAACCGCGAGCACCAACCTCAAACAAGACTCTATCTTCTCTGAAGAGAACGGAAGTGGCAGACGAAGTGTCCATGTGCTGCAGCGGGCACCCTGGTTTGAAAGATGACCCGGTGTCTAGGAAACCATCTGCACCTAACCGCGGGACGCGCAGGACGACGGGCAGCAGACACCCATGCGCCTCTGTCCTGAAGGGCTTCCAGAGCCATGACGCCGAGCGGCTGGCCTGTCAACATGACCAGACCTGCTCAGTCTCGAAGAAACGTCCAGGGAAGGTGCTGCTGTCCCCACTGCGACACCCCAAGTCACAACCACGCGTGCCTCTAGGAAAGCAGTCCCGTGGCTGAACGGCCGTGCCCCTCGCAAGCTGGTGACCCTGTAGGACAGGCCTACGCGGCGTCTGCCAGGCCAGGCACGTCTCCTGGCCGCCTCTCACTGCCTCACACAGCCCGCCTGCCCCCCTTCACAGAGGAGACAGCCAAGGCCTTGTTCAAAGCCACGTGCTATGAAGCAGCAGGATGAGTTTTCCAAGCAGGTTTTCTCTCTCCCACCCTCCCGCGGGCCGTGAATGAGCAGCAGCCTTGATCCTGAGGGCCCAGCCGCGGGCAGGCTCACCCTCAGCTTCGTGGGCGCGCCTTCCTACATGCTCAGTCTCCACGCCTGGGGAAAAAGGGGGTCGGGGCTGGGAGTCCTCATTCACAGAAGGGTGATCACCACCTGCCTCTCCATTGTCCCCCCAAACACCCGCCCCAGCACCTCTGTGCTCAGCTTCCAGTGATGACTCGACTGGAGACGAGATGATGGAGGCGCTGTGATCCGGCTTAGACGGAGCTCGGAAACGGGACTTCGCGAGCGAACCCGAGATCTATTGTCAGACGCACAAAAGGAAACACGAGCCCATTTCTGCAACAACGGAAGCTCACGTAACCAGGGAGGAATTAAGACCCGAGGATAAAAAATGATCAGATTTTTCATTTTTAAAAGCGGCAGAGAGAGAATGGAGGCCGAGAAAGAGCACTGTGGGTGGGAGGCGAGGCCCAGCGGGTGTGCAGGAAGGCCGAGCTGTTGGCAGCCCTGCGGGTGGCCCCTCACCTGACCGAGCCGGGGTCTGCCTTTCTTCCGCCCTCACCTGCCGCAGGTTTCCCAGAAACTCCCCCAACCTCACAAGTGTGAGAGGCAAAGAGCCGTGTCCCACATCGCTGATGCTCAGGGGGGTCAGGGGACTTGCCCAAGGCTGCCGAGCTGCCAGGCGGCACTGTGGGCGTCACCCCGGACTGGCCCCGCAGCTGACGCCAGTTCCCTGGGTCTTGCTCCACTGCCCCCACCCACCTCAAGTAAGGGCGAGAGAAAAGCTCAGGAGACCCAGTGGGCACCAGACACGTGATGCATGAAAGCCACTGCTCCGGGGACTCGCACCCACCTCAGGTCAGCCCCCAACAGCAAACCTCGCAGCCAACGCCTTTGCTCATTTCTAGCTGTGCCTCTGGTGGGCAGGTCTAACTCACTTGTTACTACCATTTTTAAAAGTTACAGCCTGGAATGTCTTCAAAGAAACCTCATACTCAAAACGGCTCACGAGCGCAGCACAGTCACTGGTGAAAGACGTCCGGATGGCAGGGAGCGAGCCAAACCCCAGCCAACAATGCCCGGGTTTGTGTGCCCCCCCACGCCCGCCCGCGCCTCTGTGCGGACAGAAGCAGGGCGAGCTGGTGCCCACCTGTCAGGGTGGCGGCGTTGATGATGAGCTTCGGGTTGAAGGTGTGCGCGTAACACAGCGCGTCGGCCAGGATGAGCCGCCCCTCGGCGTCGGTGTTGTCCACCTGCAGGGAGGAGCGACAGGAGGGTCACAGGAGGCGAGGGCCGTATGGGCACCAGCACCCACGCGCCGTGGAGGGTGGCAGCCACAGTGCAGTTCAGCAGGTGTCAGAGGATGCTGCTGCCCACCTGAAACCCACCATGGTCTAGACCATGTCACTTGGGGAAAAACATCAAAACTAAATGAAAGCGAAAAAGGAGTAGTGTGGCGTTTGACATCGCGTAACAAACACCTACTTATCCGGCCCCACCCTGAACTATGGGAACAGGTTCTCAGATTCCCGCCTCCTGCCTGTCACGAAGGGCGACTCCCACACACTGAGGCCACCGACACAGACACTGCTGGTCATGGGCCGGCTGTGGAAGGCGACGCTACGTGCGCACGGTTATACCTGAACTGGACTGGGAATAGGTTCAAACTGCAGAGCAAAAGATTTAAAGATCCCTGTACCAGGGCAGGTGCCAATGCTGATGATTTGGGGGCTGAAATAAATAGAAAATGTCTGGCCCATTTTACCAACAAGGGGAAATATTTCAAGGTTGCTGAGACCAAAGAGGCTACTTTAAGGAAGTCACAGCTAAGTGGTAGCCTGGACCTCCAGACGAGACCACTCACAGCTCTACAGCTGACACCCAAGCAGTGGCCCGGCCGACCGCGGTGGGCTGTGCATGCACCTGCCTCCGTGGAGAGCCACTGTCACCCCGGGAGTGCAGAGCCTACACTCAGGACAGGGTTTTCCACCTGATCCCTAGACAGGTGTACACAGAAGCTCTTCCTGCTTCTCCACCAAGCCCTGCAGGGCTGGCTGCAAGTTCATGGTGACTAGTGCATGGGATACAGGAAGGCGGAATAATCAGGTAGGAAAGGCATTTTTAAAATGCCCATGAAGAAAGAATTCTTGACTTTGCATGCAATTCAAGTTCCAATGAAACAGCGCCTCCCAGGGACGGGGTCCACCGGCACCCATTCGAGGGGGCTCCTTGAGGAGAGAGCAGGGCTGTGCCTCCCAGGACAAACCTGTATGGTCTTCCCATTCCTGGCTCTCACGACGTCCCCAGGCTTGTTGGCCTTACCGCTGGGCATATTTTCACAAAGAGGGGCCAAACCTTTGGAAAAGAAATGAAGGCATGAGGAACGGTCCAAATATACCACCCGGGACAGCCCAGCGGTGGCCCCCAGCAGTGGACGGTCTCAGACGCACTGCCCAGTAGCCTCCTTCCCAGCAGTGTGGTCTGATCCTATTGCTGCACCTCAGAGGTTCGGACATGGATCCAGATCGTGGAACCTCACATGATAGTCCTGGACCTCCAAAACTGTCAGTGTTATGGGGGCGTGGAAGGGGTGAGGGAAGGACAGGACTCCAGATTACAGGAAACTACAGAGACAGGGCAAGCGCATGCACATGGGATCCAGACTGGCTGCTGGACTTGAAAAATAGAAGTAAGTGTGTGTGTGCCTGAGCACACACATAAAATGACCATGCTTCCAGGTATTTGGGAGATTACTGTATCCATCCTTGGAAATGATAATGGAAATTTTATTACAATAGGATATCCCTGATATTTAGGAAACGGGCTAAAGTATTTGTATTGGGGGGACCTGTCATGAAGTCTGAAACTTATTTCCAAATAGTTCAGCAAAAAATGACTGTGAGGGCCTCCCCTGGTGGCGCAGCGGGTGAGCGCTGGGCTGCGAGGCTGCCCGCGGCCTCTGTAGCGCCAGTTAGTTCCCCAGCCACCGGCGAGGGTCCCACAAAAAAAAAAAAAAATGACTGTGAGTAAAGGGGTGAGGGGGAGTGTCAGGCAGACCTGCCCGCTAGTCTACCTGCCTGAGCAGCGGACGTGACAGGGGGCAAGAGCACTTAACCTCAGCCCAGCCCCCAAACGTGGCAACTGCCCAGCATTGTGTCTGACATCCTGTTCTCCACAGAGCAGAGCACTGCGTGCACTGAGTGTCCCTGCATCCCATACCCTACAGGGTGTCATGGCATTTCATCAGCACATCCCTCTGAGGCTGTCTCTAAAGGAGCCAGCACACCCCCACCCTGACGACTCAGCACTTTTCCTTGGAGCAAACCACACGCTTGCCAAGTGCTCTGGCTGTGAACCACTGATGGCAGAAGGGAAATAAGGCAATTCTAGTTGCAGCCCTGGATTGCAAAATACACAACTCCGTCAGTTCAGATAAGAAGGGGCTATGTCAGCTGGACAGCTTCTGCTTGACGACAAGTGACTTAAAACAATTTCTTGGTCTTTTTAGCTGAGAGGAAAACAGGCCTGTGGTCTCCGTTCTACCACTGGGATGGCTTCCAGGAGCTCCCAAGACACGCCCCCGCCCCTCACCTATGACGTTAATGGGCAGGTTGAGCTTGGCGGCGGACACAATGGCCGAGCATATGGTGGCAGCTCCTCCCATGTCGGCCCTCATGAGGTCCATGTTCGCAGCAGCCTTGATGGAGATGCCGCCGCTGGGGGAGAGGACGAGGCGCAGTGTTAATCACAGCAAATCTCCAGAACCTTGCTCTTACCTACATCAGGGGTTATGAGGGCACCACCCGCCTGGCTAAGAAAAATCAAATCTCTAAACGGAGAATGTGAAACACTTCCACATTGTGAAAGAGGATATCACAGGCTTCCTAAAAGACAAGGAATAAGTTTTTTTCCCTGAGTTCTCACTCACCACAAGAACACCGGATGACCAATGGTACCCAGAACTACAGATTATTCACTGGCTCCGAATAGGGAAAGAAATACACTCTCGGCCCAAGAAATCCAGGGGTAAGCCCAGAGGCAAAGAGAGCTGGTGCACGAGCCGTTCCTTCTATTCACTCGCCACATCTATCTCAAGGCCACGTCTGCTCTTCCCAGGACTACACAGATGACCTCTTGAACAAACACATTTAAAAAATGCTAAACATCATCAGCCATTAGAGAAATGCAAATGAACCCTTGAAGAGATGCCATTATATACTCGTGGGAGTGTTACAATTAGAAAGAGTGACAATAGCGAATGCTGGGCAGGGTGGAGAGCAACTGGAGGCCTTGCACGCTGGTGGTGGGGATAGAAAACGGTGCCACTCCTTCAGGAAAATCTGGTAGCTTATTAAAGTTAAATATGCAGTTACTGTATAACTTAGTCTCTTCTAGGTATTTACCCAAGAGGAAGATAAATCTGTGTCCACACAAAGACTTATAGATGCTCTTGGTTTAAAAAAAACAAAAGACCTCACTTGTTTTATCTAAGCTAGTTCTTGCGTCAGGTCATCCTTTGAAAGTCTCATGATACATCAGCATCCCTGAAACTAGAGTTCAGGAGCAAATGCCTCCTTCCAGAAAGACTGACCTGTCATTTTCCCCACTCAGCTTCACCTTGGTTGAACCAGAGATAGTTTCCAATTCTAAGGGATACTTGTGATTTTATAAGGCACATGGGGGCTAGGCAGGTCAGCTGTTCACAAAATAAAGTCATCTGAAGTAAGCAAAGGGGCGATCACAAGAGCCCTCCCGAGGGGAATCCTTAATATCCACATAGGAGAATGAAGGGTACAGGGTGGAAAGACTTCAGGACGTTTTAAAGACAGACTTCGTGTGACTTCTGACTGTCAGTTACGGGGCTCTGACCACAGTACTCAACCCTCGAGTCATGGTCATCAGCCCAGCCGCTCAGGGAGCTAGCGGATGCCAGAGGACCTGTGAGGCTCCAGTGCACAAGGAGTATTGTGGCAACTTAATACAGTTAAAAGTAATCTACGAGATTTGACCGAACACCAAGTTTTGGAAGCAAACTACACACCAGACAATACATGTGCCCACAAAGCATCACCAACTACAGAGCGCAGCGCTGCAAGGTACCTGTCAAAGGTGATCCCCTTCCCAACAAACACCAGGGGCGGCTCACTGGCGTTGGCGCTGCCTCGGTAGTGAATTTCCAGGAAGACTGGAGGCTCTTCGGATCCCTTGGCCACACTTAGGAACGACCCCATCTCCTGTTCCTCGATCCAAGACTTGGGCCTAGCGTGCAGAGGATGGGGCAGAAAGCAAATGCACTTTATTTCAAAATAACTGAGAAAGCAGCTCACATGTGAGTAAACAGTATTTACATACAAACTCTTTAAAATATGAATGTATGTTAGCAGTTCAATTATGCGCTATTTCCTTTCTGTGTTTCCTTGGACCCTTCAGTTCATTTCGAGCCTCCTTCCTCTATTAAAAGAGGTCAGTGATACCTCCATCAAAGGATGAGCTACAGAACCACCAAGAGAATGTGTGCCTGGAATAAAATACAGTGTCAGGAAATAGGCCAATAAGTAATTGTTACCTGATTTGCCCCCTGACCTATTCACATGCTTGCAAAGTTTTCAAGATGACACTAGCAAGGCTCTGAGATGGTAATAGGCAAGGAATCCCCTGCGATATTTTTGGTATTTCTAACGCATGCACGCACGCACGCACACACCCTACCCCCACCCCCCAGTCAGCCAACAAAGAAAACAGCCAACAACACTCCACTGGCTAGACTAACATATCCTATGATTTTGCCTTTTTAGAGCACTGGAATTCTATCTTCTCGGTGTGGCTATCCTGGTTCTCAGATTTCAGTTGCCGTGTGCGACGTCTTAAGTGGGAAAACCAGTCATTACTTAATAAACACGGGCTCAGTGGGGGTAGCACAAATGGGTGAGGTCCTCAGTGCCAACAGAAAACAGATGCTGCATCTTGTTCTCCTAGGCTGGGGGTCTTAGGGGCTTGGTATTGATTTCTCCCCACAGTAACTAGGCCAGGAGAGAAATCTGACAGATGCCCCAGCAATGACCAGGTCTGAGGGTCTCCTGCCCCCCGCTGCCGCCCAGGCACATGTGACATCTGTCAGCTGGGCTGAGCCATGGAGACTCGACCGCCGGCTTCACAGGGAAAAGGACATAAAGAGGAAGGTATGACGATTTAAAAAAAAAATCACTTCAAAAGAAGGCTAGTTGTGGAGTGTGGGTGTTTTTAATGACAACCTCAGTACCTGCTGTTTTCTTAAGGCCCTGCTCGTCTAAGCCCTGTCTGTGTCCCTGCCGCCCACCCACGCGAGAGGTGTGGTGTGGCTGCCTCGGCCCACAGGCGACACCCAGCCCGGCTGACCTGCTGGCCTCAGGCTCACGTCCCTCTGCTCCCACACAAGCCCTGCACTTTCCCAGCCGTCACTGCCTGTGCTCTGCACCCACTCTCACGTCTCTAAACTCAGCAAACTTCCAGATGCGGGACTCCACTCTGCCCCGACTCTCCCCCAGCTCTGCTCCGGGGCACTTCCCTGCCTGTTCTGCCACCATCCCTCTCTGCCCAGTTCCAGGTGCAGGCACGTAGCCAGCCGCACAGCCAGTATTTGTTGGTGACCCAAAGTAGCGCAGGTGTCTCCTCCCCCAAAAAACAAGCAAGGGTCTTTGTCAAGACACCTTTAAAGAAAGGACACGCTGCTGCAGATTCCCTACGTACTAATCATCCCCCAGATTCTACCAGCCTCTGCTGATTTAATTATAACCCCCAAATGCTCTGGCATGCCTTGCTTTTAGGGTGATAGGAGATGCCCACATGGGGGAACCTGAGGAACAGGCTTTTAGGTTCAACAGCCTTGCTGCCGACGGCCCCTCTGGGCAGCCTGGGGTACCAGCTGGTGTCCACTCAGGAACCCATAAGGTGGAAATTCTCACGCCCTGCCCAGTTAGGCATGCTGTGCTCTTCATGTGTGTCAAAGAGAGAAGACAGGAAGAACTGCCAAAAAACCCATGTCAGTTGCTCAAAAAGTTAAAGGGAATTACCCTTTGAGACAACAGCCCAACTCCTAGGTCACACCCGAGAGTGATGAGAACAGTGTCCACACACACACTTGTGTCCTGATTCCCACAGCAGCAAGAATGAACAGAGACAACCCACACGTCCCTCAGTGGACGGCAGGGGAGAGAGGGAAGGAGTGGGGCGCAGGAATCTCAGGGTAACAGAATGTTCTCGAACTGGCAGCGGGATGGGAGCCAGACGGCGTGAAGATACAGACATCACTGAGCTGCACTGACATGGGTACTGCAGTAGTCGTGCGTGCGCACACACAGGCATGCTGCATGTGACAGAACATGCCCGCGCAAGGCAAGGGGAGATGCGCATGGACAGAACCTTGAACTGAGCCTGTGTGGTCGCATGTGGACAACCTCGCCTCTCTGGTCTTGGGTCGCTCCTCTAAATAATGAGGAAGCTGGATTCTAGAACCTGGGGCTGCTCTGGCAGGTGTCACCTGCGCGGCTAGACCATCAGTCAGAATTACCTGACGTGCACCTCTGTCTTGCTACTAGCGCTTTTGAGATTCTTCTCGATAATTGCAGCAAACTTGGTTGGCGTCATCTCGTTGGCCGGAGTCTCCATCAGCTGGCGGGCCAAGTTCTGCCCAGAAGCAAAGAGGACGCCCTTCTGCCAGGCCTCCTGGTCCCCACTGGGGAGAAAGCACAAGGGAAAGTCAGACCAAGTCTCGAGACACTATGCTGGGCAGTGGGGTGGGCTTTTACCTCGTGAAAGATAAAAGGGGGGCTGCTGGGGGAAGCAGGGGCACGGAGGCGTTGCTGCATTCTGTGAATGGGACCCAGGGTAATGGCACCCAGAAGGAGCAATCCGGCTCGCTAGGCTGGGCGGGAGGAGACTCGGGCAAGCACACCCCTCAGAAGCCTCATCTGAGCGAAGGGTGGGACGGACAGATCTACTGCAGATGGCAGAGGCTTCCAGGGAAGAGCACGTTGGTTCTCTGGCACTGCATGAGCCACACAGCCCTGGGTTGGCCGGAGGGCCTCCGGGCTCTGCCTGGGTCGGGACTCTGCCTCTCAGCCTTCTGAGGGCAAGGAGCTGCTTGACAGGAAGAAGGCTGTGGTCAATGTCGCCACCCCATGTGGCCAGTGGCACACACGTGGGCAGCAAGAGCTGCGTGAAATGACAGTCAGGGTTTACCAGGAGCCCACCAGGCTGTCTCTGGGTCACAAAAGCCCGACGAAGCCGGGGTTATGACTACTAACAGATGAAACCAGAGACTTTATCACTTCACTGAGAGTGCCCCGCCTCTAAGTGGGGGAGCTGGAGCCAGATGGATGGGTAGCAGAGCTTCCTAGCCGCTGGCCATCAGGTGTGCCCAGCATCACACTGTGTGTCCAGACAGCAGGGACCTGTCTCCCAGCAGCCAGGTGGGGCTGGCCTATGGCCGGCGCTCACAACTTGCTGAAGGACAACTCGCCCAGCTAGACTCAGGGACCAGCCTGGTACCCTTCATCGGTGCCTCACTGGCCTTGAGCAGATGCTGGTTCCAGAGAACAAGGTCTGTGGGGACCTGCCTGCCATCTCCCTCCCACCCTTTCTTTGGGGAGCCAGCTTGGTTGGGATTCCTAGTCGTCAGCAAACACAGAGGGGTCTTGGGGGAAAGTCTTGGGGGAAGCAAGTACATGAAGCAAGCCAGGAGCAGAAGGTGGTTTTGTGGGGACAGTGATCATGCTCTTCAAACAGCTGGAGGAGTTGCAGACAAGCCAGGTGGCGAGGCCCCATGCAGAAAAGCAAGCTGCTCGTCTCCAGAAGGCCCTGTGGTCCCAATGCAGGGGACCACACCCCAATCTTGCTTTAGTGAGCTCACCTTCCATGGAGCTTGGCTGACACGGCCATCTTCTTTTTCTGCTTGAGATCGTCATATTCATAGAGGCCAAGCACCGCTCCCTCTGCAGCCGCCTGAGCATCGCCACATGGGTCCACCTCCACGGTCGAGAGCTCCAGGTCCTGCACCTGCCTGCACCCCGCTGCAAGGGCGAACACACCAGAAACACAGTCAGTCAGAGGTAGAGGGTTGGGTGGCTGCTAAGGGAAGTGGGCCCAAATCCCAGCCTGGCCAGCCGGACGCTTGACCTTTCTGAGCCTCCATGTCCTGCTGTGTAAACTAAGGGTGTGCACACACCTCCCAGGTAGAGGGGCGGAACTGGCTCAGCTCTGAGGAGCGTGGGCCCCAGTAGGGGGTGGCAATTACCAGTGTTACTTCTGAGACAAAGAATTTCCTGAAGAAGCCTCCCAATCCTCAAGCGCTTGCCAGATTAAAAACAACCAAGAAATTATACCTAAATTATCTCTAAGGAGCTGAGCACAGTCCATTATTAATACAGCATTTTATTAAGACTAGGTCAGCAAAACCTCCCCAATAAAAGTTATGAAATAATCACTCGACATGAAATTTAACGAGCATATTCAAGTTTTCCACAGGCCAAAGATCACTACGCTAATTATTGCTCCTATCACTCTCTATCACTGACTGGGCAGTTTTCCAAAGCATCTCTGACCACAGTCTCCGTGGCAAAGGCCTCTAGCTGCTCAGCTCTCAGGGGACTCAATTGACATCACCTCAACCTTCAAACCATCCAATGACAAAGCGGGCCAGGCATACACTCTGGTATCTAGTGACAGACAAGCACCCCTACCTTGTGTCCTCCTTCTCTGACTTGTAAATATGATGCCTCCATGTCATTTGAAAGTTGGGCAGCACCGGGATTTGCATTGCAAAAGGGCAGAAAAATCCACCTGCCAGAACTTTCTGGCAGAACAGAGCTCTAAGGTCAGTAATGCAAGAGTGAAGAAATGCTTCTGAGATCTCCGGACACACGTGAAAGAAAGGTCAGAACCCATATTCCTTACCTCTCCCTGTAAGGCAAGCTGAGGGTGGGAGGGCAAGGAGCTTGTTCTGGGTGCCTGATATCTGTGCGGTCGGGCGGTGGGCAGTGACGGGAGAGGACGGAAAAGGGCCGAAAGGTCACCTTAGAGTGGGTCCTGAAGAATCCTGACCCATATTAAACTTTAAGAGAGCAATCACCTGCTACCGCCACCCGGATGTTCTCTTTGCCTTCGTGCCAATTTTCCTGGTCGTCCACTCCAGCTTCCTTTTTGCCGAGGCCGACCACCACCACACTGGGGAAGTCCTGTTCCATAAACACACAAAATCACTCAGTTGATGTTTTTAAAGCATTCAGTGCCAGCTGGAAGTGGACATGGGCACTCGGGCACACAAGTATTCTAAGCTCAAGGCAGGCCAAAAGTCACTGTGATGTTTTGTTTTGTTCTGAAGCCCTAATCTTGGCAAAGTCTTAAACTTGTGTGATCAAAGGTAGAGTGAGGGTAATCCTGTAAACAACTCTCCCATGTAAGACGGGGCACACTGATGGCAGCACAGCAAAGCAGGCCTGTAGAGCCAGGAGATGCAGTGATGTCTGACAGCAATTTGCCTCTTTACAATCTTAAACAACCTTGTGGCTTAATGACTGGGTAATACAGTGAGTGATGACTGGACCCAGAATTTTCTGCACGACTATGCAGCACAGTACTTGGCATGTCACAGGGGCTCACTGAGGGGCTTGCCAAATAAACCTTATCTTCATCTCATACCTCATGCAGCCCATAAAAGGTCCGGGTTTTGCCAGCCTTCAGAGGTGGTCCAGATCTGAAACAAGAGGAAACAGTTGTTTTTAACAGTAAGTTTGAAAGAAACAAAAAGCAGATAAAACTAAATCAAAGAAACCCTAGAAATCTGAATGCAGACCTGAGGTTGGGGGAGGCGGGAGAGAGGGGAGGAAGTAAGGAAGGGGGGAGGTGGGCCAATGGGCTGTAGCGGAGGATTATGGGGACCAGGATGGTGGGGGTGGTGTGGTGACAGACATCTGAAGAAGTCAGCCTATACCCCTAAATCATGCGTAGTGTTATACACCAACTTACCTGAATTAAAAAAATGACACATCAAAAAAAAAACAAAAAAAAAACACCTGGGGAAAAAAACCCCAAAACCCACAAACCATAATTGGGCTTGCTCTGCTTCCTCGAGGGGAAATTCACTTCCCCTTACCATCATTATAATATAGGCTACCTGCCTCTGTGAACCTGCTGCATTTGTGTTTTGACCAAGATGCAGAACTGTCTCACAACAGATTTTCAGATGCTGCTGGTACTTCTAATTCTAGCTCAGGAACTCTTCCACAAATTTCCAGGGTAGATCGAATACAAATTTACTGGAAAGTGACACCATGGATGGTAATGTCTGGCCAGCTGAGCACTGGATGAAGGCTGACCTCAATCTCAGATCTTTCCAAAACATCAACCAAAGGGGCTGACTTGAGGGCAGTGTGCTCAGCTTGCAGTGTGGGGGCTGGTCCACAGATGGGGTGCTGAGCAAATGCCAAACAAACAGGGCTGCCCCAATGACAGCTGGGACCTGGATGCCGCGGTGCTGCAGCTGATAGTTATCGTGAGGAAGGCCAGGCTGTTCTGTACTCTAACACGGCTGCTTTTGCCTGAAGGACTTAATTAAGGCACTCGAGAAGGCTGTCTCCTTCCTGGTGAAGGACTGGTAATAAGAGGGGCTGCAAATTCTGTTATCCAGTGATTCCATAATTACTATCATTATTAGACTCTATTAGATTTGAATAGGGTAGCTACAATCCAAATAATATGTAGTTGCAGAAGCTTATGTTACCCATGAGGCCAGCAGTTCAACTCTGGGCTCTCCAAAGCTCCCCAACCTTCTCTAGACTCACTAATCGATGAATGGTGAGGATCTCAGACCCCACACAGATTTTCTAGATTGGAACCTGAGTGATTCTCAAGAACTATAAAATATGAGAACCCCCTGAAGCTGGCAGTGGAAGCAGCAGCACCCCCAAGCTTTCTGAACTAGTCCAGAGTCCACTGGAGTTTCAGGAGGTAGAGAAGCTGGTGGGAAGGCAAGAGGGTAGGCTGAGTATGGGGAGAAAGGCACTTGAACTGGAAGATGGGCTGGAGAAATCTGGTATTTTCCAGATCCCTCTGGTTCAGTCTCTCACAAAATGAGATTTGGTTGAAATGGCCGGACTTCTCGGAACTGGAGCCCCACCCACACAGAAACACAGGGGACCAAAGGGCATTCCACACGCATACTTTCACTTCCATTGAGAAGGTCCTGGCCCGTGCACTTCACACATTTTTATCTACCAACAATAAAGCAGAGAAAAACATTCTCTTTCAGGGCATTTGAAAAAGCTGGAACCCACAGGTGAATACTTACATGTTCAAAACCTGCCTCAGCTTCCCAGACACCAATTTATCAAAATTCTCTCCTGCGCTTGTAAACTGTGGCGCAGCATCTTCTTTTTCTTTGCTGTAGATTCCTAAAACAAGGCCCTGAGAACAAGTGGAAATGGTGATCATAATTAGACTAGGTCCTTCAGGGGTCCCCAAATTCCAGAAGGCTCAAACAATTCCATTTAAACCCTGCCCCCTCAGGTCCCCCCAAAGATAGAAGAACCAGTCAGAAAGGGAGCAGGTGCTGGGCCGTCAGGACACCCGCCCCCGGCCTGCAGCTTCAGACTCCTGCGGAAGCAAGTCTGCATCGCTGCCTGCGCTGGCCGCTCACCTCCCTCCCAAGAAAGGGCGTCCTTCACTTTCAAATAAAGAAGAGCAGAAAGCTGTCTTGTTTAAGGAAACAAATCCACCGGTAACCAGGGTAGAGCTGGAAGGGGTTCAGAGCATGCCGCTCCAAAACATATTCATCGCCTGGAGCTTCAGCCAAAGGAGAACAGGAGATGCAGGACCTCCCTCTCCCCCACGGCGGGACATGAAATGAATGTCCCAGGAGGAAGATGCGCTTCTCACCAGAGAGGCTGGAGTCGGCGCTGAAGTGAACCTGGACAAAGCTACCTACCGACACAGCCTCTATCTGTGAGTTTCCCCCACGTACTTCCTAGACAGCAGCCCCCCAACTCACTACCCCTAGTCGAGGCCCCTTTGTCTTGCCACATCCCGGCGACGGCTCATTCTGTCTCAGAAGGCATCTAAAAGGCTTCTCTGGGTCTTGGGTGCCCTTCCAACCCTTGGATTCCCTGAGGATTCCCACAGGCGCGGCCTTGCTGGGTCCACCTGTCTTGGCGGCCTGCAGGGCCAGGCCCAGCCACAGCACCTCGGGGCGCGGAGTTAGTCGTCCCTGCCCAGCCCGCCCGCCGCAAATCTCGGGGATCCCAGGCTGCCAGCCCAGGGGGGCCAGGGTGGCCCCTGCAGTGAGAATGAGGCGTCTGCCCCGCGGCCGGGGAGCAGAGGCGCAGGCCCGCGGGGGCGGGGTCCCCTGCGCCGGGGTCAGCACGGACCCCGGGATCGCCGCGGGCCCGGGCCCGGCCCTTAGACTTCAGGGGCGCTCTCTGCCTCGGGGCGACTCTGCCGGACGGAGAAGCACGCGCTCTCTCCCCTGGCGAAGGAAAGTGAAACCCGGGAGCAGCCGGATGCGGCCGCCCCGGCGCCGAGCGGGTTCCCGGGGGCCCGGCCCCGCGACGCCCCGGCTCCCCGCGCGGCTGCAGGGGGCCCGGGCGGGGCTGGTGCCCCGACCCCCCGAGGGCGCAGAGGGGCGCGCCGGGGCCGGCCGCCTCGCCGGGGGCCCGCCCTTCTGGAACGTTCCCAGCCGGGCCGGCCGCCTCTGGCCCCCGGTGACCCCGCCGTGCCCGGCCGCTCGAGGGGCGCAGAACCTCCTCAGCGCCCCGCGGGGCTCCGCGAAGCCTCCGGAGACTCCGACTTCTCGGGAACCCCCGGCTCCGCCCCGGGACCCGCGCGCCCCGCAGCCGGCGAGGGGGGACCCCTCTCCCGCGGGCGCCCCGGCCCGAGGCGCGACCCGGGGAGCGGGGGGACCTCGCGCGCCCCCGACCCCCGGCTGCGGCCCGCGGGAGCCCGAGGAGGGGCGGCCTGCCGGGGACCCCCGGGCCGGGCCCCCCACGGCGGGGAGCGCCGCGGCCGACCCCCACCCCGCGCAGAGGCGGGGACCCGCCGCCCCGACCGCCCCGGCCCCGGCGGCCCGGGGGAGCCGCGAACCCCACCTTCGTCATGTCGGCGGCGGCGCGACCCTGTCCCCCGAGAAGCCTCGAGCACAGACGCTGGACGGCGACTCGCGCGGCGGCCGGAAGAGGCGGCGGGAGCATCTTGTCAGCTCGGCCGGCGCCGCCCTCCCGCGAGCACGTGGCGCCTGCGGGGCGCGCCGGGGGCGGGGCTAGCGGGGGGCGCCGGGGGCGGGGCCAGCGGGGGCGCGCGCGCCGGGGCGGGGCTAGCGGGTGGTGGGCGCGCGCCCGGGAGGCGGGGCCAGTGCCGAGGATCCGGGTGGGCAGGCGCCGGGGGCGGGGTTTCTTGGTACGGGCCGGCGTGCGCGCAGACGTGCTCGGGCGCGGGCGAGCGAGCGTGCGCCTGGTGGGCGGGGCGGACGCTTGGGGGCGGGGCGCCAGCGCAGTGGGCAGCCCTAGGTTGGAGCTCCGGGGCGTGCCGGGCGCAGAGGGACGCTCTCATTGGAGAGGGCTGGGAAGGGGCGGAGTCCAGGTTAGAGGGGCGGGGAGGGGCGTGGCTCCAGGACCTGCGGGCGTCGGCACCGCGTCCTGTCTCCAGGGCCAGGCGGTCAAGGTCGCTGGACACGTGGCCTTAAGGTAGAGGTCAAACTGGGGCGTGAAGCCGCTGTCACTGAGTTATTTTTATTCCTGTCCGTATTTTGAATTTTTTGGGGTACCTTCCATCAGGAGCTTTACGACTAGTGCTCAATGTTTTATTATTTCTTATTTTAAAAAAGCGTTTAAAAATTTTGTTTTTTGGTTTGGATTATGGTTATGGTTCCATGCAGCTCTCAGAACCTGGGGAGCACAAGGAGGGATACCAGAACCATCTGTATTGTTGTACCAGAGTCTGATCCTAATTCTAGTGGGGCGGGAGGGGGGTGAGGGATGGAGGGGCGTGGGGATGCATGCAGGGCGCGCTGAAGCAAGTGTGTGTGCAACGCGTCCACTTGGGTGGGAGGCACAGGAGAGAATCTGCTGCACTGCAAGGGTGGACACTGCAGAGATACGGCTGTCCTCCCTTGAAGGCCGGGCGAGGTGGGCATGGTAGATGCACTTTGCCTTCCTCCTTCAGGTAGCTAAAACTATTTGCATCATAAGTTTGGAAAACCCACTAAAATTCTTCTGTATTGCCTTCAAATACAGAAATCTTTTCATTTTATAACTGCTTTCCAAGGAGCTCAGGCTGCCTTTTACACACTGAAAAATGCTAAACCTGTTCCCCTACCTGTGTGTGGAGGGGAGGACCCCTGAGCTCCAGAGGGAACCATGGCAGGGGTGTACGTTATACTTGTCACTACCCCTGTTCAGTGAGTCTGTTCCCTTCATTTCATTGTCCAGACAGTGATAACTCTCATCCCAACATACTCTCATTTACTTTTCTCTTTGTTTCCAGGACCACACCATTTACATTTTTATATGGCTAAGGGATAAGTGAGAAATTTCACAACCGCCAAATAATATTTGAATACTTGGAATGTAAAATTCAATCATCATTCAAAACATAAGTTTTGAAAATGCTTACTGTGTTTTTCTGTTAGAAACTGTGGGAGTAAGACATAACCTAGATATATCCAGCAAAATATGATTGTAAGGAGATTAGAATAGACGTTCTTACAGTTGTATTTGCGTGTGCTCAGGTTCCTCCTGCCTCCTTTGCTTGACCGAGACTTTAGTGTGATGTCATGTCCTCCAGAAAACATTTGCTGACACTGCTCATCTATGTTACGTGCCCTCCCTTTGTTTCCAAAGCAGTTGACATGCTAATTACCTGTATTCTCATTGTCCTTTCTGCCCACACATCCTTGGAGCCATGGCCTTCATCTAGATGTCCAGTGCTGTAGATTTAGAGTCTAGACTGTGGCTGATACATTTATAAGATGTTCATAAAATGTTTGAATGAATGCATGATCAAGGTCTAATGGATGCAGCATTGATAGTTAAAGAACATGATAGCACCCATTTGTGGCCTTCGGATAAAAGACAAAGACAGTAAAAGAGCTTGAAATGAGCCGTGGAATAAGGATATAGATGACTGAGGAGGAAACCAGGATGTGGCGTGTATGGGAGGGTATTGGCTTGGCTTGGCATAGAGGGATCAGGCCTGGCTAAAATAAAAGGTGGTTATAAAAGGGAATGACGCTGGATTAAAGAGGATCTTGAAAGACTGGGAGAGTTTATAATTGATGTGGGAATCCACATGGACTCAGTGATGTTTTCTCTAGAAGTTAGGGGAAGTAAAAGCTGTGTTTTAGTATGGTTAATAAAGATAGGACTCAAGGGTGGGGAAAGACTGAGCAGAGTAGGGAAAGTTGTGTTTCAATAGAAAACTGCGTTGTCTGGAGAGACTATGGAGAGAAGGGGAAATTTTCCTTCTATGCTTCTAGGTTCTTTGACTGGACTAATAATTAATATGACTTGAAACAGATTAATGGAGGTCAAGCAAATTTATTTGGGGACCCCACAGAGATATATGAGGTCCAAAGACTGTAGGTGAAAGAAAATGTATATGCTTACTTGAGCCAAGAAATGGGATAGAGGCCTGGGGCTTCAAAGGGGAGAAGACAATAGGAAGAGCAGATGCTCAATAATTAGTATTTTCCCCCTCATTTTGGACAAAACCTATCTAAATTCATCTTTATATTTAATAGAGAGGCAAAAGTTTCTTCTGAGTCTTCAGGTTGATTGCCTTTAGTTAAAAATAATCCATATGCCAAAGAGGCATCCTGGGGAGACCTGTTCTGAACCCTTCTTCATTCTTCCAGTCACTCACTTAACATATTTATTGAGCATCAACTAAGTGCCAAGCACTGTCCTAGGCACTTGGGATCTGTCAGTGAAGAAAAGAGACAAAGGTCCTTGCTTCTGTGTAGCTTATATTCTAGTGGGGGCAGGGGAGGCCAACAATAAGCAAAATGAATAAATTATCTAGTATATTACAAGATGATAAATGCTCTAAAATTAAAGAAAATTCAGAGCAGGGCAAAGGAAGTGGATGCAATCAGTGACGAATAGGTCATTGTGTTCAATAGTGCAGTCACAGTAGTCCTCATTGAGAAAATGACATTTATTTTTTTTTAAAAGAAGGCCCGTTTATTTTATTTTTTAAACATTTATTTATTTATTTATACAAGCACTGGGTACAGTCAGAAGCGCGGGAGGGTGAGAGAATTCACCAGAGCCAGAGCAGGGAGCAGAGCAGGCAGAAGGACCGAAGTACACTGCTGAGGGGAGCAGCAGGCGGCAGGAGAGGTCTGCGCGCCATGCGGGACCTTCTGCCGGTGGCTGGGGAGCAGCCGGGGATCGAACTGGCGCTGCAGAGGTTGAGGGCAGCTTCGCAACCCAGCGCTCAACCGCTGCGCCACCGGGGAGGCCCGAGAAAATGACATTTAAGCACAATCATGAAGGAGGTGAGGGTATGAGTCGTGCAGATATCAGGGTACAAAGCTTGCTGGAACAGAGAATAGCCAGTGCAAAGGCCCTGTGGCAAGAGTCTGCTAGCATATTTGAGGAACAGTGCAAAGGCCAGCATGGCTGGAATGGAGCAAGCAGGCATGAGAGCAGGTGATGAGATCACAGAAGGTGGTGGTGGGGGACAGGGACAGCTGGCCATATGGACCCACGGGCTACTTTAGGGCATATGACTTTTATTCTGAGTGTGTTGGGAGCCATTGGAGGATGTTGAGCGTATCTCCAATGATCTAACTCAGAAATATTGTTCTGACCTCTGGGGTAAAGGAGGTAAGATTGGATACAGAGAGACCGGTTAGTCCACTTGCAATAATGCAAGGAAGAGTTGATAATGGATCAGATTAGGGTCCTAGAGTGGTGGTGTTGAGAATTTGTCAGATCCTGAATATATATATTTTTAAAGATTTATTTATTTATGCATACAAGAATGGGGGTACAGGCCAGAGGTGCGGGTGGTGAGAGGATTCACCAGAGACAGAGTGGGGAGCAGAGCAGGCAGTCTGACTGAAATACACTGCTGAGGGGAGCAGCGGGCAAGACAGGAGAGGTCTGCTGTGCCATGTGGGTTACTTCCTGCCCGAGGATGGAATTTGTGCTGCAGTGGCTGCAGTTAGCTTCATAGGTTGCGTCTTAACCCCTTGCGCCACCAGGGAGGCCCCTGAATATATTTTTAAGATGAATTACCAGAACTTCTTTGTGGACTGGAGGTTGGGTGGGAGAGAAAAAGGGGTCAACTGTGACTCCAATCCATGGCCCATGAAGCTCCACAGGAGTTGCCATCAGTGAGGATGGGAATTAGGGTGCTATCAACTAGGGAATGAGGGTGGAGCAGGTTCACAGGAGTGTGAGACATCTGGCAGCACCCGGAGCACTGTTCACCCAGAGATAGGAGGAGGCTGAATCACCCACAGCAGGGCATGAGGTCACTGAGTCATTTCTAGACCACAAACAACCTGTTAAGAAACAAACAAGGAGCTGTCTTGCTTTGGCCTTTGTGTTGTAGCTGGGCTTGCATTCTGACTGATTTACACAGATAACGATGAACAAAGTTTTGCTCCTTGTTTGTCTTTGATTTCTCTGCTCTATTTCAAGCTAGTTGATTGTTTGACTCTTCTTATTGGTTCTCATTTTCACTTGGGTTTGCTTTTTGATTTTCTAAAGTGGATAAATTCTTGTGGGATATAGTGGAAGTCCAAATTCAGTTAATAAAGTAAATAAATGATGCCAAAGCATTAGTTTCCTTTGGGGTTGCTACAGGTTGAGAAACCATCAGAGGGACTGCTCTCATGGGGGGTGGAGTGGTCTACCCCCACCCTCCCTAAAGTGTGTACCTCTCTATTACAAACAAACAAAAAAATAGCCCACAGAAGAGGGAAGCATCATGAGAAATGTTGGGTTTTCATTTGAGGGTCTTATATAGTTTCATAAGAATAAGTCAATATATTTCACTGCATATAGAAATCAAGGTTGAGGGAATTGAAATTAATTGGTGTCATATTCCTGACTCTAGTTTGTTAGTGTTTTAGAGTCTTTTACCAGGTTGGGCTCCATAAATTTTGGTGCCCAGTGCAGAATGAAAGTGTGGACATCTTGTTCAAGAGTAAGAATTACAGGATGGTGATAACAGAGAAGTAAGTCTGGGGCCTG